TTGATTCGGAAGGTATGCAGATATATGCTTTCTCTTTATGGCAACTTGGTAAGAATGAGAATGCTCTCTCTGTGATAAGAAATCTAGCTGCTAGCATTTCAACAATGGAACCGGCATTTGCAGCAGCTTCTGTTAGTTTTATCTGCAGATTGCTGTATTACATTTCTGGACTAGATTCGGCAATTACCAGCATTCTGAAAATGCCAAAAGAATTCTTCCAGAGTACAAGAGTCTGCTTTGTAGCATCTGCCATCCATGCTCTTGATCATAGTAATCGGCTTGAGTCAGCTCTTTCAAGCTATCATTACTCTCTTTTATCCCTTGATGTGATCATTGAAAGGCACTATTTAACAGCTCTTGCTAAGCTGGTAAGCCTTTTTTTTTTCTAAGAAAAATCTAATGCTAAGTTTGAGAGTGGGAGGGGGTGCTTGTTTGTGGTTTGTGCAATTTATCGGTGCATACTTTTATGTCAATGAGCTGTGCAGGTCAAACACGGATCAGATTATCACCTTGGATTTCAGAGTGGAATTAGCCACATCAAAAAAGCACTTCACAGTCACCCCAACAGTAATTTGCTAAGGTAGATATTGAAACTACTAACACGCATTATCTTTTAAGATATTTTAAGAATTCTAGTTTCAGATGTTGTTGTCTGTCCTCATGTGCAACCTACATCCAGATTTCAGCTGTTTGGCTAGAACCTAAGGATCTAAATAGCCAACAATGATACAAAACTTGAGTTAACTTGTACTTTTCATAATGAAATCTTTGGTTATGTAACGAAAATTTAATGAGTTCATTAAATCTTGTAATGACCTTTTTGGTCAGTATTCACATTATAGTATGTTCATTGGTTTTTGGCATGTTGTGTGAAGTTGGTAACAAATGCAATAGTTTTTTTTTTCATTCAGTTTATGTGATAAAATCTACATTACTTTTCCTTCATTGTTTCCATATGTGAACTCACATGCTGGAGCTTATTCCATGCATGTTTGGTTTCATCATTACCCAGCTTCTATAAATAACTTTAATATATTTGGAAATTTTGAAAACTTCCAAAATTTTGCCATTTTCCATGACGGCCTATAATTTTTGGAAACTCACTATATTCCCAGTCTGATTTCACATCTTCAAATTAGGTATGCTACTTCTATGCATCATGGACATCTTTTCAAATTTATTTAACGGTCTTACATTATGAAGATTGATGAATGTTGTGATTGCTGATCCAAGTTTCAGCAAGTAGTATCATTAGTTGTAATTGTTTCATATCCTTGCTGTACCTCTCACATATGTTCTGGGAACAGGAACCTACTCGGTCATCTTTTGCTATCATGTGAAGAATGGAAAGAAACTCATGTCGCTAGTAGGTGCTGCTTCACAGAAACTCCTTACTGTGCAAGCAAGGAAGGTTTAAAGTCAGGATGTGAGATTCTTGGAGCTGGGGCAGTTGCTTGCTATGCGATTGGCAGTAAAGATCCAAAATTTTCTTTCCCAACGTGTGGTTACCAATGCCATAATGGACCTGGAGCTGTCCATGAACTGCAGAAGTATTGTCACCATTCTCTGTCATCCTGAAAATTCTTATTCTCTGGTTTTAATAATGGATTTTTGTGTCTGATGAAAGTTAAAAACAAATCAATATGTTTTCAAGTTTTCATATTGCTTTATCTCTGTGGAAAATATACATTGCTGTTTCCTACACGCACATTGGCGGAGCCTTATGTTTGACTAGAGGAGGTTGTTCCTGTCCAATATGTATATATTGACCAATGAGCATTTTTCTGTGTTCGAGAAAAAAATTTAGATCACTGGATTAAGAGGACATTGCTAAAGAAAAATTCCTTAAAATAGAATAAAAACTTGAATGAATTGATAATAAAATACATGTGTGAAAAAAAAAGCCCCCACCCCTCCCTCTCTCCCTCTCAAAGTTGAAGGTCCAGCTCTGCCACTATGTATGCATGTGTTTTTGTGTGCGTGTGTGTTGGTGCTGACTTGAATGAATTGTGGGATTTGAAAGATTTCTTTCATATAAACCGTTCAACCCTCCAATTTTGTCTCCTAATGAGTAAGCATTCTCTTGTTCTTGTTTTCATTGTGCAGATACATACGCCAAGAACCTTGGAACCATAATGCTCGATACCTGCTTATACTTAATCTTCTGCAGAAGGCACGAGAAGAGAGATTCCCTTGGAAAATTTGTGTTGTACTTGAGCGTTTAATTTCTGTGGCACTTTCCAATGAGTTATATTCCAGAGAAAGCATGTCTTATCAATACCAAAAGTTTCAGCTTTTGCTTTGTGCTTCTGAGATCAGTTTGCAAGGTGGAAATCGAGTAGGCTGTATCGAACATGCTAAAAATGCTTCATCACTTTTGCTTCCTAATAACTACCTGTTTTTTGGGCACTTGCTGCTATGTCGTGCCTATGCTGCTCTGGGTGATTATATAAACCTTCAGCAACAGTATGTAAGATGCCTAGAACTGAAGACAGATTATCATATAGGCTGGATATGTCTTAAAATTATTGAATCTCAATATAACGTGCAAACTGATTCAAATATCTCAGATTTGAGCTTCAAGGAATGCTCAAGAGAGTGGAAGAATTCAAGGAATATGTGGATAGCCATATTTAATTTGGTTCTGGGATTAATATCTTTATGGAAACAGGAGTATTTTTCAGCTGAAGAATCCCTTGCGCAAGCTTGTTCACTAGCGAGTTCAGAGAGCTGCCTTTTTCTCTGCCATGGTATTCATCAATTAGTTGATTGGGTTTTCAGGTGTTCTATTACATTCATGCATCATGTTGAAAATTCCTTTGAGGCAGAAAATGTTGCCAACTTTTATTTAGTCCAAACAAATTTACCTTAATGATTAAATATGTATAGTTAATTTGCTTTTATTTTCTCCATTTAATTGAATCATGAATGCTTCCAGGTGTTGCATGCATGGAGCTTGCCAGACAGTTTTGTAGCTCTGATTACTTATTGCTTGCTTCAAGGAGCCTCACCAGTGCTCATGCAAATTCTATTATCCCCTTGCCTGTTGTATTGTTATTGTTAGCACAAGCAGAGGGGAGCCTTGGTTCAAAGCAAAAATGGGAGAAGAACCTCCGCCTTGAATGGTACTCTTGGCCACCAGGTGTGACATGTTTAAGATAGTGGAGATCTTTCTGTTATTTACATGATTTTTTTGCTAGTTCATTTTGCACCGAATTGCTCTGCTACAAGTAGTGGTTCAAGAATTCCACAAGTGGGTATTTTTTACTAATTGATTAATGGTTGGGTCGTTCTTACTAACGACTAGCTATATCAATCTTGCCAAGGTAAAATTTTAATGTCAAATCAAGAACTGTTGGTTAAAATGAGATAAAAGTCACGAAAAAATCCTAGCCAAACTTTTTGAAATGCATTACTGATGGCTTTATGATGGGTAAAGGGCCAAAGGTGCAAACAAAAAGGGAAACTGTGGGCTGATGTGTATGAATCTGATATATAGTGGGAAGTAGTCTTTAGGTTTTAGGTTGCATTTCTTCCCAAATAAAAATACTAACCTATGCACCATGCAACCAGTTCAAATCATTATCTTTTGATATAAATTTGAACGCCTTTTTAGAATTGATTTTGCAGTTTTACAAAGTTACGATCAGCATTAATTTGTGCCCTCCAGGTAGATTGGATTGGTAACTGGCTGCAAATCCGGTGGTAGATGCATACTATTTCTGATTGCTAATTAGTGATTAATCATCTGTTACTGTTCTTCGACACATGCTCGGGCACACATTGACATGTTGGATGAATTTTCCAAAATGCTTTTGCTGTTTATTGATGTTCTTCATGTTTTTACAGAATCGAGACCTGCAGAACTCTTCTTTCAAATGCATTTGCTTGCAAGACAATCAGAAGCTGGTTTTGAGTCTCCATCCAGGGTGGAATTCTGTCAAAGCCCACTTAAATGGGTTCTCCGGGCCATCCATACAAATCCTTCTTGTTTGAGATATTGGAACGTCTTGCATAAGCTTATGGAATGAGTTCCACGCTCCGCAGATGTAAGTTTGGGAAGGACGATACTGTGGCTAACTTTGTTTCAACCTCCAATTTTTTTCCACAAATATATGAATTACCAGCGTTAACCAAATTATCTTTTTAAGTTATGGTATCTTGCTTCTCCGCGACTGGTTTAAAAACCTCGAGGAGGTTGGACATTAGTCATTGGAGAAAGTCCACAGGAGCGTTGCGAGGTTGTAAATTATGTCGCTAACCACCATAATGTGTTGGATGCTCTGTGCCTTTGAAACCTGGAATTCTCAGCCTTGGCCGAAATTGTAACTGGCGGTAGTAGCCTTTTCTAATTGGAATCCTTTTTTTGAAATTTTTTGGAACAGGAACATGGTTTGTCAAGAAAGTAGTATAACATCTAATACATTGGCTTGTCTTGGAAAACGTAAATATGGCTTTAGCTGATACTCTGATACAGTTGTAATGTGAATTGAAATTTGCCGTTATTTATCTACCTGCCATTGCTTAAAGACCTAGATCGTTCAAGCTCATGGGATGGATCCCAGTCCAAGGAAGACGAGAGAATCTTGGATAACATCATGAAAACTTGAGGCATCGTAGGTCGTGTATTGAGATCATGATCGACACAGCTTTTAGCCAGCTGGGCCATTGAGAAGGCTAGATCTAAGGGGTACTCGCCTCTTAGGCGAGGGTCTAGGAAGCCAGAGAGTTTCTCTCTCACATTGTGCCCCTCAAGCACACGCATTATCATTACAGAGAGCAACTCGTCCCCTGCACTCTTGTCAATAGCAGTAGCTGCTGCTTCCTTACCAGACAAGAGCTCCAACATCAGAACCCCAAATGCAAAAACATCTAATTTCGGGGTGATGACTCCATTCTCGATGTACTCGGGGGCCATATAACCTTGAGTACCTACTACATGTCTTGTCAGTTGCAGTCCACCATCTTGGTCATTTTCCAGTGTTCTCGCCAAACCGAAATTAGCAACCTTGGCTCTCAAGTTGGCATCCAAAAGAATGTTGCTGGTCTTCAAGTTCTTGTGGACGTAGGGCGTGATTAGTGTAGTTGTGTAAGTAATTGAGGGCATCAGCCACGTCGTAGGCAATCTGAACCCTCTGCTTCCAAGTAAGAATTCCGTATTTGTTGTTAGAGTGAAGCCAATCAGTGAGAGAGCCATTGTCCGCGTACTCATAAACAAGGTAGGTGTTGCCCTCGTGCACGCAGCAACCAGAGAGCCTGATGACGTTGGAGTGATTGATCATCTTCAAAATGTTGATCTCGCTAGAGACATCCCCTTTCATGACCTTGACTGCGGCTGTGTCGCCCTTGAAAGATCCCCTGTACACCGAACCTTTAATCAGATTAGCTTGGGCGAAGTACCCGGTGGCCCTTTGCAAGTCCTCATATCTGTAGACTGTCAAGGATTCAACAGCATATCGGACGCCATGAGAAGAGAGAGACCAAGATTTGCTGTCAGATACGGGGAGGGCAGTGAAATCATCAGAGTCTGGTGGCAGCGTTTTGGGTTCTTAAGGGGAGATAGGCTTGTGCTGCTTACGAGATTTGCGATGCCAAAACAGAAATCCAAAGACAGCAAATAGAAGAACGAGCAAAGCAGCTCCAGTCCCAACACCCACATACACGGCTTTGTGATCGGAAGAGCTGGAGGATCCCCCAACCGGAACAATGGGAGTCTGTGGAGATGGTGCGGCAGGCGGAGGAACTGCGGATTTTTGTGCAATTTTGGTGGGATTAGTGGTCAAAGGAACCAGAATTGGAGTGAAGGGGAAAATGTTGTTAGAGGACAACTTGTTTGCATCAAGTATCCTCTGCTCGTCAACGCCAAACAGTTGGGCAATGGAAGAAATGGTATCGCCCCAAGTGACCATGTAGGTGAGCAAGTACTTGACTCCTAAAGCAGTTTGGTTAGAAGTTGGGCAAGCACACCTCAGGGGTATATGGAGATCGAGACCCCTATACAAATTCCGATCGCCGTAGGGATTCTGGGACATCAAGGACTGGCAAGTGGTGAGGCCTTGGTAGGTGTTGTTGGCCACGGTGAAGTAACTTTCGGATGTTTCCTTGAGTTCATAGGTGGAATTGTGCTGGTAATATTGACGGGCATAACAGGAGCAGTTGACTGGAACGACGACCTGAGAGTTTGTGGGAATGGAGGCAGTGTCAGAGGAGATGTCATTGATAGAGGCGATGAGAGTGGCTGATTGTGGAACGCCTAGAAGATAGGCAATAAGGACAGGAGAATTGTAGGGAGGCATAGATCGGAAGGTGAGGTAGGATTGGCATGATGATTGAACTCCGTTGCACACAAATCCCTTGGTGATTTCATCGAAGGCCTTATTGTAGCAGTCCAGTTGGCGGTTGGCTACATATGCTTGTTGCCCTTTTACTGATGGTGAAAGAAGCACCACCGGCAGCAACCACCAGATACAGATACAGTGTAAAAAAGTCCATGGATACATGGCGGAGGAGCTCAGGTGAGGGATGGATCAGAGAACTCGAGATCTGTCAATTAATTAATTCTGTGGCTGCGCTGTGGTTGAATAATACACGTAACGAAATTACTTAAGAAGCGGGTGGAAAATATTAATTGGATCCAGGTGCAAAGAATTAGCTTCAGCTAGGAAGATAAACTTTTTTCTTTTGTTTTGAGAAGATTTGAATATGGAGAACATAAAGAAAGAAAGAAGGGAAGGAGTTGATAATACTCTTCTGGCGTGTGCGTGGTTTTAATTTGGTATACAACTGTCATTGTCTTGAATGGGATTAGAGCTGGACTGGAAAGAAAGAGAGGACTTGGAATCCAAGTCAATTATTAAATATAGTAAAACGGAATGTGATTTTGTTATAGCTAACCTCTTACTACAGTTAAACCCAAGCCACGTCGTTTTGAGTATTTATTCTAAAATGACTCAAAACGATCTCGTTTTTCCAAAAAAAAAATTAATTTATTAATATTTTACACTTTGATCTTCTAAGTTATTACTTTATGTAAAATAGTTCTTAATATTTATTAATATTATCAAAAGGTCCTTATCAATTTTTTTTGAACTGGGTTTTTTCATTAATTATTATTTAATCAAAATAATTTTTTTCATCATCAATGTTATTTTTTCTATTTTTATAAATATTTATGAACTAAAATTAAATATACTTCTAATATAAATTGATTAAACACCTCCTTCTAATTGAATTTTTTAAAAATAAATAATTAATTATATATATTTTTTATCTATCAAAATAAAAAATATTTTTAAAAAATATGTAAATTCAATTATATATATATTAAATTAAATAATTTTTATTTTATTTTAAATTATTTAAAATATTAAAATATAGATACGATAAGCTTATCTGGAGCAGCGGCTCACATGTGTTGAACTAGTAAATACTATAAGCGCGTTTGCTATAGTCCAATTGCGCTTGGCATTATTCCGTACTTTGACCCACCACCGTTCTTTCCTTTGAATAATAATAATAATAAAATAAATAAACAAACAAATGAGTAAAAATAAAAATTTCCCCAGCCCCTCAAAGGGCTGTAAATTTCTTGTTGCAAATTTTCACAATTTGTCTTTTTTTTTTTTTCATTTTTCTGATACTGTTACAAATTGTTCTCATCCCAGCCTGCTGAAACAGTTACGCCGTGCAAATATTCTCCTGCACGTAACAACTAGGGGAATGCTGACCACATGATTTTGCTTTTACTTTTGTTTTTTCTTTTTGGTATAAAAAACCTTAAAGGGCTATATGAGTTTTTCAAAAAAATATGTGCACAAAGAAAAATCCAACAGCTTATGACTAAATATATATTTACCACTCCAGTTTTTACACGTGTGGAAAACCACCAATGAAGTACTAATCAATAGATTCCCAATTGCTTAATCCTGACTCGTGGCAGATCAGAATTCATTGTGGCTAAAATTTCATCCCAAGGATGCAACTGTTACTTCCTAATTTTATTAGACAAACGGCTATTACATTTGAAAGGCAATTGTTCATTGGACTATGACTACGAATTGTAGAATGTACAGCCATGGAACCAGTAAATAACGGAATCCACAGTAATAAGATTAAAAAAAAAAATAGAAGGCCCAGGAATTTGAGGTTGAAAAATTGTACCCATGTGTGAGTCTTTGATATCAGCAATATGGTGGCAAAAACCTGTATTCTAAATATTATCGTCTCCACCAGGTCAATGAGTCAATCTAGTTTGCATTTGTGGAGTAACAGTCTGCAGACAAATGTGGCTGAATAGCCCAGCCCCATCACAGTAAGAAGCAATACTGCAACAAACAAAAGTATCACGATTAATAAAAATATAAACGAATACTTCATTTTTAGTTTTTGAAATAACTTGTATTGATTACCATCAAGAAGATTGAATAAGTTGGCTATTTATTCGTCAACCTAAAATAAAATGGTTCAAAATTTGGGATTTTCAACTCAACACGAAAAGGGCATAAGGCAAAAATATTTCAGCCAATGAGAATAATTCATCCGGGAAGAACCAGATAGGGAAGCTGCTAGTATGAGAAATAGCATACCAGATACAGAACAGTATAATAAAATGGCCAGGCGATATTTGATATTCCATGGCAGATCAACTTCAAGGGAGCAATGCCTTCTATATTCTCCTGCTTTAACCGATGGCATAGAGCCGTGCAATTGCAATTCCACTAATGGAAATTTTACACCAGCGACAGGGTACCCGTCCATGTCCCTGACCTCAAGTTTCAAGGTTACTGGAGTTGCACTCCAGTCAATTTCAATTGCTCCAAAATTTGGCTGACCTAAAAGAAATTTTCAGTTGATATATCAAAACCACTTGAGAAAACCAGAACATTATCATAAAGGAAACCTGCAAAATGCATTCCTTACCATATGTGCATGATCTGAATCTGCAATTTTGGTTGGTCACTCTCATTGTCGTTGGTGTGAGCCATGCAACCAATCTCACCATGAAACTAAATACAGGTGGGACCGCCTTCTCAACAGCTTGTGTAAGCCCACTTGAAGTTACATCATATAGTGGATATCCAGTAGCACAGTCATATCTTGAAATTTCTCCAAAATGAACATCTCCACTAATGAAGAATACACCTTCTCTCTGCGCAGGAAAGCAGGACCAGTAAACATGTAATGTGCACAGATAATATGCATTTATTATCTCAGAAATGCAGAAACAAATGCTCTACACCATCTTGTATTAATGCACTTGAGATCATTAGCGCTACTGAAAGTAGTTCGGTTCCCTCAGGGATATGCATTGTGGCAATCATTAAATGCTATTACCTTAGAATCTGCCATCAATTTGAAAAGACGATTCCTCTCCGTTGGGAAGCGTCCCCAAGACTCCAAAGAAAACAATGGCCGAGTGGCTGCTGTATGATTTGATATAACCTGAATTATGTGGAAAAGGAGATTGCTGGATTAACCAAGAATAACAGACAAAATACATGCCTGTGTTTTTCTAAAGCTTACTTGCATGGGTGCTCGCATCAATGCTTCCTTGTGCATGTATATACAGCTATTCAATCACAAATCTGATAAATTTTTAGACAATAAAAATGCTACAACACCTGAACAGAAGATCCAATGATGGTAATGGCTGATTTTGGTCCATTCAACTCCTTTTCTAACCATGTCCATTGAGAACTTCCAAGGACACTTCCATCACTGCGCAAAGGGTCTCTGTGGTACCTCGTGTCTAAAAGGATAACCTAAAAAAAAAAGGCCAGTAAGGATATGAGTTTGTCCCAATGAAAATCGTAAGTAAACTGCATATTAAGAAAAAAAAAAAAAAGTACTAATGAAGTATGTAAAGGCATTCTCTTTTACACCTTGATTTGTCTGCCCATGGGGCCAAACATATATGACGCATATACACCCTCCTGTTTGCGCCTATAATAATGTAGCAATGATGATTAAATTGGCCATCCAAGAATCATAGGGGGCTTATAAGTTACAAACTAGTAGCTTGGCAAAGTTCGTCATAATGCAAACGAATGGAAATGAAGAGGAATTTGTAAGAAAAGAATTCATCACCGAGGACTGTGTTGAGGTTCGTCTAAGAAATCGAGGAGAAGCTTTTGGTTAGTGATTTTGCCACCAAACTCTTTTCCAGCATCGTTTAATCCATAATCATGGTCATCCCAGGTACCAATAACCTGCGATGTTGGTTAAGACAAATGTGAAGAGTAGGATCACTTGTTATTATTACATGAAGAGTGAAGTTTGATTGTATTAAAGAAGCTGAGGTGAGGTGTAAGATGAGTAGGTACCTGTGCAGTGTGTCTAAGACGAGCATAACCAGGATTAATTTTGGCTTTCTGGTATCTGGACTCCAATTCCTGGGGAGAGGAAGGGATAAACCTAGGAGCATTCTTCCAAGGCCCAATAGTCCTTTCCTTTCCAAATAACTTAAAAGGACGTCTAATGTCTCCATAAACGTTGTCTCCCAGCCAAATAAAAACTTGGGGATCAAAGTCAATTATGGCATTCCAAATGGGCTAGGATTGCATAATAAATAAAAATTATGATTGATTAATACTAGCAATAATATAAAATATAGATAAGCAGATCCATGATTAGCATGGAGATTACGATTGCCTGAGGATGAGAAAGAAAAGCAAAAAATGAAATTGGAGATTACGATTACCTGAGGAGAGCTTTGGTTAGCGCAGGATCCGAAGGCAATTCTGGTGATGAGAGGCTCTACCACTTTTCCTTTTCCTTCCCCTTCTCCTTCCGCTGCACCTCCCTCTGTGTCTATCGCCACCAATCCTACTACGCCTACAACCACCGCCATCCACCACAACCACCACCTTCTCTTACCCATTTATTATTATTACTAGTAGTAGTCGTACTGTTGTATTGATGAATTAATTAATTAGTTGTAATAATAATAATAATAATAATAATAAATAGTAGTAGTAGTAGGATAATTAAAATTGGGCGTTCATCATGCAATTGAATCGAGAAAGATCAGCCTCATCCTGCTGCTACTGCTGATGATGATGCTTTCATTTGATAGAAGAAGAAAGGGAGGAATAGCCAATAGGTGGAATTTAAATGGTTACCTATCTGCACCGCCTGCCCATTCAATTCAATTCAATTCCATTCAAAGCATAATATTCCATTCCAATTGGTTGGATTGGGAGTGCGAGGAGTGAAGTGTAGAATATTAATAATTATTATTATTATTATTTTGAAACGTTCCTCGTGTATATATATATATATATATATATATATATATACAGGAAATGAGTAATATGCGATTAGCAAAAACTACTTGCATATTCCATTTCTTTTCTTTTGTTTATGTTGACAGGGAGAAGGGCAACAACCACATAAACAGGCCCCTAAATATGTGATTAGCAATAAGGAAGAAGCCCATTAACCTTTCCAATAAAAATAATTTTGTTCTGTGCGTTTGGGCTTCCTCTAAGCCTAATTATCCATCAACAACTAACTTTGCGGCCTTTCTTTCTTCTTCAACTAACCGAACCATGCCCTCTATCTCCCTTTCTTCTCCTTCAATGCTTTTCTCCGCCTCGCCTCCTCCTCCTCCACTGCTCCGTCTCAACTCACTCTACACGGCAAACCCTTCCTTCACCGATTCCATGTCTGCCGCTGCTCCCAAGTGGGCTCAGAAGACTATTACTCTACCACCTCAGCGCCGTGGCTGTCATCTTATTACTCCAAAGGTTTCCTTTATACTTTGTTTTTGTTTTTCTTTTTCTTTTAGCAAGCACATATTCAATTAATGAAAAATTGAAAAGATAAACAAAAAACCCTTAGATTATATGCATGTTTACACTTTGAATGATGTAGATATTGAATGAAATTGGCACCGACTTGTCAGAATTCAAGTGTGGCCTTGCTCATCTCTTCTGTAAGTGACTATTTTCTTTTTGTTTTATTTTATTTTGTTATTGATTGAATTATTATTCAAAATAATTCTATATTTAATCTCAGTACATCACACAAGCGCCTCTCTTACTATCAATGAGAATTACGACTCTGATGTTCGAGATGACACTGAGACTTTCCTCAACAAAATTGTTCCTGAGGTAAATTACCTTCCTTTGCCTTTTCTTTTTTCTCCCTTCTATTATTTACCTACAAGATTAGGTTGGGTCTTTGCTTCCTGTTTTCCTTTGTTTCCTTTCCTATACATATAATAAAAGTATGTTTATTTCTTCAGGGAAGGTCCGCTCCTTGGAAGCATACCCTCGAAGGTTGTCCTCTATTTCATTCTTAATTTTAAACATATCGATGAATGGAATTTTTTTTCATTTTGTTTCTTTCCTCGATGGATTGCTAAGCTCATGCTATTTTGATTACGATTTCACCTGTTTTGAAAAACTAATGCTTTAAACTAACTAATTTATGCCTCCTCTACTCAATACTCACCTGTGTCTCCATTTGAAACTTTTGCAGGCCCAGATGATATGCCAGCACACATCAAATCATCAATGTTTGGATGTTCTCTAACGTGCGAATACTTTCTCCTCATACGTTCCATGCTTTATTTACTCCAATCCTTTATTCTATTATTTACCCAGTTTCTGTTCTTGTGCAGGATTCCGATTACAGATGGAAAGCTAAATATGGGAACTTGGCAGGTTTGCCGACTTCTTTCTTTTGCTTTTTCTTGGAATTGCATCATCATCGTGACCTGATGATCTGTTCTGGACAAATGATGTGTTTCACACCATCAACAGATATTTTCCACTATAATTATAGAAAATAGGTGGTCTGGAATCTGGATGCTTTAATTGCACAGTTTGTTGTTCAGTTGCTAATGCTTGGCTTCCTCTTCTTCTTTTCTTTGGTAGGGAATGCTTTGCTTTTGATTGCTACCCTGGTATTTGTTGGTTTATTACTTTATAAGCTTACGGAATCGCGACTGTAGAGAATACATCCTGCTGAACCAATACATCAAATTATGTTTTGGAATATTTTGAAGGCATCTAGAACGGAGTGGACCATAATTTGTTTAGAATTGAAATTATCTTATATAGTTATTAATTAGGCTTTCCATTGTTTACCAGTACTTGTAACACTACTGTGCATTGGCCTTTGCATATCTTACCTCTAAGATTGCGTGACATTGTTGATAATAATATCGTTTTTCACTTTTGTTGTTCAGGGAATATGGCTGTGTGAGCACCGGGACTACCCTACTGCACGTAAAGTTGTGGTCACCCTTAATGGAATATGAGGTGTTAACGTTTGGAGATTTTCTGGTTTCCTTTTTGGTTCTTGTATGCTTGTAACCTAAAATGGTGTTGTGACATATTATTATGCATGCTCGTATTTTAATGGGGCACCCCTTCCTGGTTTCAGTAAATTACTGGACTACGCACTTGATGACTTTGAGCAGATTAAGAACTAGATTCGTAGAATTATGATATCGATGGGAGCTACAAGATAAAATCCCAATAATTTATGCCTCAAATGTTATTTGAAGTTTTAAGATGTAACTGCTGCAGCAGCATGAAATGCAGTGCGATGGTAATATAATTTATGAGTGAACTATAGTGCTGGGGAATGGGATCAACTGCTTTCCCTGCACAATGGGGCTAGCGAGAAGCGAGTGGAAAATGCAATAGCAGCGAAAAGCTTCCATTCTCTGTTAAGTTAGTACTCCATTTTTAGGTGTGATATTTGGAGGCAAATGATTTCTAAGTTTAGCGGGCAATCAAGATTTCAGATACATTGGGAAGAATAAGTGCATTTGAGCTAACCATTATTGATCTTACAACGAACGTATAGTTGATCAAATATATACATATACAGAAAAAGAATGGATGGTATGGTCAAGTACAAGTAGAACGAATGAATTAAATGTGTTGTATAAATTATGAAGTGGAAGAAGGGATGGAAATGAGTTAGTGCATCATGACAGCAAACTCGTGGAAGCTAAGTACACCGTCTCCATTGAGGTCAAAGGCACGGATCATTGCCTTGCAGTCTTTGATGGACCTGGACTCCCCCATTCGACTCAACATCTTCTTCAAGCTGGTTGGAGTGATGCAGCCTGAGCCAGGCTCGGTCTCATACATTTCAAAAGCATGTTTAAGCTCCTCCGTCTTCTCCTCCTCTGTTACACTGCCTGCCATCAAGCATTGGAAATCCTGGAATCCCAACAACCCATCTCCGTCCACATCAGAGGACCTGACGGCAGCCTCAGCTTCTTCGATGGAAAGCTGACCTCCAACAGTGGTAATGCAGCTCTGCAACTCGGCTGGGGATATTTTTCCATCTCCATCTTCATCGAAGTAATTGAAGACCCTTTGGAGCTCGTTGTTGCCAATGACATTAGTAGTACTACTAGTTGAGTTGTTAACGTTTGTGGGAGCTGGGGGAGAAACTGGGTTACTGTGGGATTTCCGTGGAGATAGTTTACGACGTAATCTTGCAAGAGGAGATGAAATGCTAGAAGGTGAACGTGAAGGTGAAGGTAAAGGTGATTTCATGATTACAGATAGGTATATATATAGACAGATAGATATTCAGATAGGTAGGTTGAGATTTCAACTAATAATGAACATATATGGCTATGGCCGAATTAGATAGGTAGGCTAGAGAAGAGACAAATTGTGGTGTATGTTTTGGAGAGAGGAAAGAGTGGGAATGGCATTATATAAAGGTGTGACGGGTCAGGTCAGGTCAGGTGTGTCAAAGACGTGGCGGAAGGAAGGAAGGGAATGGATAAGTGAGAGAGAGAGTGAAAGAACACGGTTTTTGTTGTGTAATACGGCTGTACTTAGCCGGCCACCTGTTTTTCTTAAGTTTCGCAAGTGGTTGAAGTTCCAGAGGCGGCAAGGCAGCGCGTGGCGGAAGCTTCCTTCTTTCTTGACTGCTATTTCCTCTTCCTTCCAAGTTCTGGGCCTTTCCGGATTTTTCTATTCCAGAAAAGGCAAAATATCTAGTAGGATGTGTAGAACTGCCTTGAATCCTGATCATGACTTCTTGCATTTTTATTACTTTAATTTATTTAATTGCCGGAAATAGATAAAGATAACAGCTGTCGCCTGTGGGGCATGATGGGCGTTAGCAAAATTTAGCTATCAGGCATGGAAATTAAGGAACAAACAGTAATGGCCAATGGTATTTTGTCGGTCATTGTCAAATGTAAGTCGTGGTCAAAGGGTAATGTTTATTTCGTCATGCATTGAATCTGCAAAGCTCCTCACTCACCCAGTCGCTCCTGATTTCCGGTGCTTATAGTTGAAATTATGAGTTCTTGTTTATTTATTTTGTCATGCCAATCTAATAGCCCACTTCTCTTTCGTCTTTACCCAACCAAAAAGAAAAAAAATTCTCTTTCGACTTTTCTCATGATAACATGCACGGTGTTCGTTCCATTCCGGTGGGTGAAGAAACCAACCCTCTCTTTACTCTTCGGTCCTCATTCTCTCATTTTCTTTTGTACTTTATTATAGTACAATTACACCCCTTAATTTACTTTTCGTGGATGGTTTAATTCTCTACTTGATTGTGAAAAATAACTTCGAATTGAGTAGAGCTTGTGCCCAATTTGTGCGGTTAGTATATTGACGTTTACACAGAGAAAGGAGGTAGTAGGAATATACCAGAAAAATATGTGGAATCGTGCATGGCGGCGATTGGCTTGGCTTAGTACGAAAACGTTTCCATCTTACAACAGATATATGACCACTGTCTGTTTTGGATACGGACTTTACAAGTAGAATCTGAGGTTGAATTGATTTTCCAGTGGAATGTTAAATCTTCATGAGCGAGGACAAAATTTTGATTTTGAAGGTTTTAATCGTTCAAAAAACAAATAATAATAATAATTTTTTTTAATTTACGTTGACAATATTTTTATTAAAAATTTCAAAAAGAAAAGAAAATTGATAGAAAATATTTTATTTGTCTACAAAACTGACAAATTCTTTTTACTTTATTTTAAAAAGGAAAAAAAAAAAATAAAAACATTGATAAACAATACATTTGCTAATTTCTCGGGCGAGGTAGCCTTTGCTATTGTTATAACTGCTTGCTTAGATGATTAGATCATATTATCAGGTTATAACCATACCTGTTTGTTATTACTAGTACCTATATTTTTTTATGTTGAGAAAAACGACAAAAAGAAAAAAGGAAAAAGAAAAAGAAAAAAGAAAAAATTCCCATCATATTCTAACACTCTTAATAGTTATCACCAAGGCAATGTATCTGCGTATATTCAACAAGGTTGCTATTGCTGAACTGCTTTTCCAATAGACATGACATCGAAACTCACTTGGGACGAAAATTGCTTTCTTACCGCATACGAGTATATAATCAGGCATCCCACGCACACACACATATTATATATATATATATATATAGATATATGACTTGTAGAGAAGCGGAATGTTAGGAAGAAAGGCAATACACTCATCAATCAGAGATATCAGGCCACACACCTGAAAGAGAAGCAGGGAAGACAGAATAGGTTAGATCACAGGTTAGATCATGCCACCTATCACAGAATCACAAACAGCGGAGGAGTATGACAAAGAAACCCTCAAATTAATACACATGGAAAACAACTGGCAGCTTCCTTTTCTCTACTTTCTAGTTATGCCATGCGAAATCTCCTTTGCCTTCTCTTAAGCTTCTTCCCCTCCTGTAGTCAATTTCTGCATCAGAGCTCGACAATCCCAAATGATATTTCCTGCTGATTTTGGATGATGCCATCTTTGAGAATATGTCTTCATCATGATTACCGGGAGTACTTGATCCAGAAATATTCCCAGTTTGCCATCTTGATTTAGGGTCTGAATTAAACACAAGAAAGGATCGCTATGTGCGTATATCAAAAATGAAAAAAAAAAAGGTTTGTTTTGTATAAATTCAGGCATGCACAACATTAAGATTGCACATAAAAGCAGAGAGACGTGTGAGAAGATGGTGGGTGCTCTATCTATTTGTCAAAAGAAAAAAAATATTTTAGGTTATATGTGCTAAGAAAAAATTGACTCGGTTTGAGCGAGCCAAAAGCCTTGGCTGCTATATTTGCATTCCAATATCATAGTGAATATCCCTTGCCATACTCCCTTTCTTATCCACCCAAAAGCACAAATCTTTTTTTGATCTTTCTTATCTTTCTAAGTAGCAGGAGCTTTTTCCACCACGTTTTTAAGTTTAGAACATCAACCAGAAAATTGGAAAAACAAAATCAAAGAATTAGACTGTTGAAAACACATAAATAGAAAGATACTTTGGGAACTTAGGTCATGTTAACAGTTCAATTTCAAAGTTATGAGATGCACATTTCTTTTTCTTTTTCTTTGCCCGTGATTTCAGAACAAGAAATAAATTAAGAAATGTAGATAAAGTTAAGAGAGTTCACCTTCATATCTATCACATGAGAAAGACACTTCACAGCATCCCCCACCAGCAAGATCTGATTTCAATTTAAGGCTGTTCTGTTTTGGCAAGTTTCCATGTGCTTTTTGGCCCTCATTTGGTGATGATGCTTCCATACTTTCTTCCAAGGTAGATTTAGTTGAAGTAAAAAGATTCATGCTAAATGAGTTGTCCATTACATCAGAAATCTCTACATATTGAGGAGTAGTGATAATCTCATCAGCACTGAACCCAAAGGATGCTCTGTATGCTTCTAATTCTTCAGCATCTTGCTTGGGACTTTTATTATGCCTGTTCTGGTGTCCATTCGCACCAGCAGGATAAACATCTGAATCCTTGGAAACACTTAATCTCCCACCAGTATTAGGAAATGGTGGATTATGGTCCAGATAAAATTGTGCAAACGTAGCAGGACAGAAGAAATTTGAATCTTGCGACACCATGGAGGCACCAGTAGTCTCATGCCCAAAAAGCCTGCCAGATCCACTCCTTGAATATTTTCCATTTTGGGGAGAAACTGATGGATCCCACTGTGGAGGGAAATCTCGTTCAGGAAAAGATGATGATAAACAGTCACCTGAAGTCCTAGAAATTGGTGATTTGAGACTGCTGGCAGGACTTCCAGGATAGAGTGAATATGTTGCTTGAAGATCAGATGCAACAATGTAATTGTTCTTTTCGGCAGTTTTTAGATCCCTAGATGACGTGAGGAATTGAGCAAAAGGAACATCTGGCGAAGAGGGTGTAGTTAAGTGAGCCAACTCTGGTGGGGGTGTAAGAGGAGCAGTAGATGGCTCTGTGGTGAAGGTTGAGAAAACAGGAGGAGAAACCAGTTGGGTTTCGTGCGCATAAGGTCCAGTGGCATACATTGTGGATGAAGGACCCCCGGGCGAGTTGGCAGATAAAGAAAGGAAGCAACTAGGAGACTGAGCAGTTGATGGAAGAGCAGAGTTTGTGAATGAGGCAGGTGAAGATGGGGGAGCTAGAAGTGATGGAGCTAGTGCTGTAGCTTGATTGGGTAGGCCAACAGGTTGAGGTCCATTTGGCTGGGCTGCTGATGCATTGCCCTCGGGAATACGAGATGCAGGGACAATACGCGTTCCACGTTTATTCACATTGAAACAAGACAATGCCCCCCAGCATCCTCCCCATCTCTTGCGCTGCTAAACATAGCCAACCAATCAAAACTAGATGGCAAATTGGCATGTGAAAAAGAAAAATCAAATCCAAAATGCTAGAAAAGTAGTGACAAGCAATCAAGAGCATGTGTTGTGTAATTCAGAAGGAAAACTGAAATGAACTAGATATAAAATCAGCTTGTGCAGATAAACATACACAGTATTTATTACCATAAATGAAAAATAAAAAAATAACTACATTTTTCTAATTGATCTAATTCTGTTGATGCATTATTATTCAGATAATTAAAAGACGACAAAAAAAAGGAGGTTAATTCACATCTTAGTGCTACAGCCGTGATATGAGCAGCAATTCTAAAACTTGATATACATACATCATAATCAATCAATCAATCAATCATGGTCTCTGTCTTTTTTAGGGTAATTAGACAAAATAAACTGATGCCATTAGTGATAATTGATAACTACATAGCATGTTTTCGTTTTGTTTGATCTGGAAATACAATAAAAGCAATTGGTAGATAAGACGATCCTTGTCATCAGATCTGTGCTTTTATTTTTCGTTGCAAATTTTCATTTATTTATTTTCTCACTTAAGAAGAAGAAGAAGAGAAGCATCGAGTAAAAATCACAGGAAATAATATTACAGATCTATCTATAAAGGAAGAATAAGATGGGAAAAAAAAGAAGGAAGGCAGAGAGAGGGCATTTATGAGAAAGAAAGATAAAGGTATCAGATCCAGATCTAGAGGATATGTATGTATCAACCGGAAATTGAAAGAAAGAAAATGAAGGACATACCTGTTCCTGCTGCTGTTGCTGCTGCTGCTGCTGCTGCTGAGGGAATCTATTCTGCTCCGACCCCATAGCTGATTAGATTGATAACCAACACTCGCTACCACTAATACTACTACTACTACTACTTGCACCAGCTTTGACTTGAACTCTTCTACACAGTACGGTACACCCACTCTTTCTTCTTCTTCTTCTTCTTCTTCAAGCTGCTATTAGTAGATTAAGAAAAGAAAGATCGCTGACTTTACTTCACCCTACCAAATAAATACCACTTTCTCTCACTATACTATACTATGTGGTCTCTATGCATCATCAGATTTAGATCAATACCAATCAATTACTAACATTAAACAACATCCCTTCCTTCCTTCCTTCCTCACATTAATATTACTATCAATCCTACTGCTATCCACCACCACCAAAACCCAGATGCTGACGCCCTCAACGCATGGATTTCTATCTAGAGATATTGTAGTTTCACTTAATAATCAAATAAAGTGTAAAGAAAGAAGACCAAAGAGACAGAGAAAGAAAGAGTGATACAGACACAGAAAAATTAAAAAAGAAACTACACTACTGCTGCTGCGACTGCTACTCCTAGCGGAATAAAGAAAAAGATAACCTATTAATTAATCCGATTAACCCTTTCCTTTATTTATTTTTTCGAAAAGATTTTCTTTTCTTTTCTTCTCTCTTTAGTAAGTTACAAAAATAAAAATAAAATAAAGAGAAGGACAAGGCAAGACAAAAGAACGCGAAAAGGATTGAAGTGATAGAGGAGAGATGCTGCTGATGATTTTAACACGAGAAACAGACAGAGACAGACTCACTCGTCGCTCCTCTCTCCTCACCTCCCCCATATGCCAGTCATATATGCTTTTCGTCTTTTTTTTCTTTTTTCCTTTTTCCCTTTTTCTATAACAACAGCCAATTAAAAAGACAGATGTACGTGGGTATCATTGTCATTATAATTTTTTACAACACCGGACCGGAGTATTGTTTTTACACTTTACAGGTACACAAAACAAAAGAATAAAAGAAAAGGAATGGTTGGATGGCTTGGTTTGTATAAAAAAAAATATTAACCTTTCTTTTCTATTCTTTCCTTTTTCTTTTTGAAAGTCTAGAAGGAGCTATTTCTCAAAAATCAAAAAATAAAAAAGAAATAAAATTATGAATAACTATTTGAAAGAAGAGAGGTTTAAAAGGAGGAAAAAAGAAAAGAAAAAAAGCAAAGGGGGTAAATCCTAGTAAAATAAAATAGTAACGAAAGAGAGGAGCAAAAAAGAGCATTGAAGTTGGAGCTGCTAATGCTTATTACGACCTTGGCCCACCTTACCTGGGACCAATATCCAGTGCTTGTTGTTTTGCTTTCCTTCGCTTTTTACCGCCCTGCCCTGCCCTGCCCTGCTTAGTCCCACACCCACTCTCTTTTCTTTGCCATTTTGGCCCAAACTTCCCCCTTTCTCCACGGGCATTGCATTTGCTAATGTTCTTCCCATCTAAAAACCAAAAACCAAACCAAACCAAACACCATCTTCAATTTGGATCAAGCTTCGCTTTTTACACGCCAACATATATCTACAAACCATTTCTCATTCTTATTGCCAATTGCTTCCTCTCTCAGCTAATTATCTGTAAATTTGTGAGCCTTATAGAAAGGTTTCTGCTTTAACAACCGTTGGCTTGACCTATAGTTTTTCCTTCTCTTTTATGGTAGATTTTGGCCTCCACAATAAGCACGAGCTTCTCAAAATTCCCAATTCAAGGAAAGAATAGGACATCACAACTTAAAAACCATAATTGCTTATAAAAAGTAGAAGCAGTTAAAAGACCGGATTTGCAGCACTACCATCATGGTGGTGATCACTTGCGTATTACTCCGGTCTACCAGGGCTACGAAACAAAAACCCCAATGCACTACGCTTCTTTGTTCTTTCCTTTTTACAATTCAAACGAACTGGATTTCGCAGACAAAGTAAAAACCTTTCCGATTTTCTCAAGTCTGCCTCTCCAATAGAGGTAATTTAATTCAACCCATCTTCTCTCTTAAGTTTGTTTGTAGGACACCATTTTCCGTTTATATAATAGCGTGCCAACTTTCAAGCCACCAGAACAATAATATAAAAGACTACCAAGTAGAATAAAGCATTTTTTGGTGTTCTGCTCCAAATGGAAATATCAAAGCTATGCTATTTACACAGCTTAGAAACCACCACACTACCAAAACACACATTTGATAAGATTCCAAAAGAAACTTCCAGTTAGAAATATTAACAACTTCCAACATTCAGCTTATAACAGGTGATTCATTAAAATTTGTTTATCTTTCTGACACTGTTCCTAACAAAATTTTCGCCCATTACTTATTAGTTCATTTGCCAAGTTCTTTATGGTGCACCTTTAAAGTTCCAATAGAACCATGATTCGAGCTTTGAGGCCAGCTAGTAAAAAGCATTCATATGTTTTTGTTGCAAGGTTCATAATCTATTAACCACACCCTCCTCCTTTGTCCGGGCTTGGGACCGGCTGTGGTGTGCGAAGACAAACCAGGAAACAACACAGGCGGAGTTACTCTTTTAAGTTAATAAAATGGGCAATAAACATCGTTAAAACACTGGAGTCTAGATGGTCAAACAGATTAATGTATTTTAAATCTCTTTTTATCAAATCCATAGAATTCCTCCCAGAGGAGCTTCGAACCTAAGCATTCCATTCCGGGAAAAAGTACTATTCACCAACAAACATGCAACCCTCTTGATCTCACATTTGAACTAATCCCAGCAACGGACACAACCTTGCTAGCCAAAAAGAAAAAAAAAAAAGGAGCCAATGGTTGCTAAGCTCTTTCTACTCTTTCTTTTGTTTTAATCATATCCTTTTACGTTTTTTTTTTTAATCTTAAATTCATTCATTTATGCTTAATTTGTGTTTTAAGTTCATCACACCGTTAACTTTTTCAGTTCATGGCTAAAAGAGTATGATTAAATGTCAAGAGAGTTTTGGTTAAATTTTTTAATAGCATCTATAACTTTATAATATCTCAAAAGAGTATTTTTTTTTAAAAAAAAAGATACAATAAATATTTTTATTTTGTACACAAAATTTGCCTACTATCATGAAGATAAATTTAAACTTATAAAAAATATTTTGAATCAAAAATAATTTTATCTTTATTTTTTTTCATTTGCTTTATTTTCACTTTAAAAAAAGAATAGACAAACAAGACTAAGACGGGAAAAAAAAAATCAAAGAATAAACAAAATCAAGACCAAAAAAAAAAAAAAAGAATAAAATGAGTCCTGCAACTATTAACTGAAAATGGTACAGCAATATTTATTAGCATTTATCCTCAACATTACACCAATACAACAAGAAAATAAAAAACATGCATAATGGGCTTTTCAAAAGTGTTTTAACAACTTTCTCACCTTATACAGTGACGGTGTGTTCACTTCAAGATAATCATATGTTCAACTCCTCCATAGAATTTTGAGCTTTAAAAAATATCTTACTGCAAGAAGATGTCAGATTATTCTCTCAACTTCATAATGGTGGTCAATTTAGTCTTTGTCCTAGTAACACGGCTCTCCTATCCCTGCTAGCTGCTAGCTGCTAACAACTAACTCTAACCTCTGACCATCTAGTTATTTGATTGGGGACTACAAGGTCTTCTCAAAAAAAAAAAAAAAAAAAACTTGGAAAGAAGTTTAATCAAAATTATATATAAGAACGGGAAATGCCACATTATAAAGCACCATCAGTCAGTGGCTGCCTCTCCTTCCGGGTAAAAACAAATAAAAAAAGACTGGGAAAAAAAAAATCTTTTAGTCAAGCCTAACGTGTTTGGATTTGAGATTTGATTGAGTTGAATTAGGTTTAAAAAGTAATGAAAGACAAATTAAGGAATCATGGCTCCCAACTCTCTTCACTAATTAATTATAAGAGGTTATATATATATATACACACACACACATAAACGATGTTTCACCCTGATTTTATTAATTGGTTTGAAATTAGCAATTGCCATTTGGTTGGTATCTTCCATAACTGCACAAACCAACATAGTGGGCAGTAGCGTTAGTATTTATACAAAGGAGAGGGAAGCAGACACATACCAAGAGGCATAAGGAAACCTCCACCCCACCACAGCAGCTATAGGGAATCCCTACCCGATGCACTCCTGCAGCCAAAAAGAAATTTTAAGGAAAAAAATGAACTGCTAAACACAATCACCCGCACCAAACACCCATGAAAACTTGTTGCATGAAACTATCATATACCCAAGGCTCAAATTACAATATTAAACAACCAAATTAACGTGGGACATTGGTCATCAACATTTCCATTGGATGCCTTTTTGGTACATACTGCCTAACTTTTAATCACATGCTTTCTCTTCAGACGGTGAACATATCCTAAACAATTTTTCCCTTTGTTTCGGCCACTTTCACTCCAATGAGATGTGCCAAATTACTGAACTCTCATCAAGCTCGTAACTTAAAATATTTAGCAATTATAGTTTAAAAACTAGACTGCTAGGGGTGGCGTCAGTTTTTATTTCAGAACTTGGCTAATTAAGGCACAGAGGATGATAAGCTTTAGTCAACGGCAAAGTAATCAGAACAAAAGCAAAACTCAAAATGGGTTCCATCATGCAGCAGCCTTCATGTCAGCCCTGAAAATAGCTGGTCATAAGTATTGAAATGACAGAAAAATCTTGAGATCCACGGCCTTGAAAAGTTTTTTACCAACTGATTGACAGCCAGCCATTACACTGACCGAGTCCTTCCCGTAGTCAATATTGATTTAATTGGGCGTAAGCACCAAATGCTCCAAAATTCTACTGTTCCTCTAATTTAATTTTGAGACTCAAAAACATGTTGAGTTGCAAGGGGAAGCAGTCATCACCGACTAAGATTACCAGCAGAAGAAAAAATTAGATTTATTCACAAGATTCATCATGTATATTAATTTTCACTTGTATTGAATAAATAAAGAAGTAATGCATGTCTGTACAACAAATTGGTGCTCCAAAAATGTTATGTACGAAAACAATAAATTGATTTTGAGTTTCTAAGAGGACAAACTCATCTGCAGCAGAGAGAGAGATCTACAAGAATGCACAGTTCATTAATTCATCTTCGAGGAGGGAAAAATTCAACATAGAAAGTTCACCACAATCACATCATCCATCTTTTATCAACGCCTGTGATTCACAGCCTGAAACAACATAATAATTGCATCAATGATTGGAATGCAAAAAAAGGGGTCCTCTCAATTGATAAACCAAGCGGCAAAATTAACCAATTCTCAGATCCAACTGACCATATAAAGGTGACTGAACTCAAGATGCCTTGATAATCAGTAAAGGAGATATGAATGTGTATCATTGCTACAGATAAAAAAAAAAAAAATGCTTAAAGTGATGTTTATTGAACAATGAACAGAGATTTGTGAAGTGGTTATCGCAAGTCCATGTGACCCTGAAAACTTCACCCAACAAATCCCATCAATGGAAAAATAGTAAATGGGTAGGGAATTTCTACGGAGGTACACTATGAAAAAAGACCCAGAGAAATTATCTATGCCCAACTAGACGCCCATTTTTTAATCATTCGCAGACTGGATACATCATTTTGAGCAGTGAAAAAAATTCACTTCTCTACTACCTTATCCACACTATTATATAATTGGTACTCCATTTAATTTAGCGAACTACACTATCTGCTTGCATCAACAAGTTAACCACTCAGGCTGTGATCCGCTGGGTTCAAGATTACTGCTCAAGTTTTCACACTGAGTGGAATAACAATTAGCAGAAATGAAATGTATAGCATCAATTGTTACAAAATGGCAGAAAGAATTTAACCTGTGATTGTTTGAGAACTAACACAAAGTTGACAATTACACACAGGTAAACTTTGGATTTTAGTTCTTCTGATTTATAAGAAAACATTGTCTGGAAAAAATGATGGTAGCAGGAACCAAATACAATAGCATTTATGAGCAAACAAGTTACATGTTTTGTCCATTTAAAAAGGTGTGATCACATTCCAGTTTTTGATTCGTAGTGCAAATATATAAATAAATAAAAGAATAAAAGCATGCAGAAATAAATGAAGGCTACATCGTAAAAACACCACCTATTTTTTTTCCTGATTCCAGCACCCAAACTATACGGTGTTTTGATTGTCACCCCTTCAATTAGATTCCATCCAACTTAGCCGTTAAATATCACATACAAATCAGATGTTTTTCTAAATAATCACCAAAAAGTCATAAAAACAATTGAGGGTCAATTCCTTGATGATCATTCTATCATATTGTAAATAATATTTTTATCATAATATTGGTTGAGGTTGATTTTTTATGACCTCTTGACATTTTATAAGGAACATGTGCATTATTTAATGGAAGGCGTAGTAGAATGGGTGTCAATCAAAACAGTCTATAAATTCAAGGGCTGAAATCAGCAAAAACAAAAAATAATAATTCAGGGGCATCAATTGAAACAAACTATAGTTCAGGGGTTGTTTGTACGGATTAGCCTATGAACTTACATGTGCATGTGCCCCTGCATCTTATGTTAGTGTCCATAGGCATATATCCAACCATTTATTTTTTCCTTTAACCATTGGAAAATATACACATACGCAACACTTCCCAATTCCTTGTCCTCACATCCGGACTTCATCCTCAAATCACTTTGGAACCAGGGGATACACCATCAAGCCTTAATGCCATGCACAGCACATTATCTTGTTTCACATTTTCTTTAAGAACTTTCACTTATCAACTTCACATTTCTAAGCTTAACTCACACAACTCAAACGGCAGGTATTACATGTAACGCTCCAAGAAAAAATTGTATAGTTTTTGATAAGTGAAAGGAGCACCATAAATTATTCAATTAAGAAGTGATCAGCGATTAGAAACATACAATTGAAGATAAACCATGCCAACGTTCTCTGCTGCTAGTCTGCACCCCCATTCATCTCATCAGAACCCAAACAAATCTTTCAAGCTGCAGTTTATGAAGGGTTTCAAATCTCAAGAGAACAAACCCAGCTCCTCCAAAAGCATCAAACTACAATAAAAAAAAAACCAAATTGCTCAATTCTCAGTTGCTAAAACATTTATAAAAAAAAACCAGCTAAATAAAATTTCCCCATTCCAGATTTGAAAGGAAAAAAAAAATAGTAAACTAAGAAATCATTCCAGTTTTAAATTACTACAAATCCATTATTTGTCCCCTGTTTCAAATGGTCAATCGAATCACCATACACAACTTGCTTGTAAGTCTGATTTTTAATATTACCCCATGTGATCATCCATGGGGCATTTATCTGTCACATGGATTACAAAAGAAGAAACAATAGCCAGATCAGCTGTATCTGACCATAGATCTTAATCGGTTACAGTAAGAGGTGGAAAAAAAAAAAAGAAGCAAAATCAAACAAATTTAATTGAGCAAACTATATACATGCATTGAAGATGAATCAATTCTGTCAACCATGCAAAGAGAGAGACAAAACTCTAAAATACAGCCTACAAAATAATGAACAAAGGCTATATGAGATAAGAAGGCACAGAACAAAATTCATGTCTCATGACAAAACTAATGAAAATAGCACTTACAATAATTGGCATCTCAGAATGCTTCCTAATTCAATGATCCACGACACCTGAATAAAAAAGTTGTTGAATTAGATGTAAGATCGAACTTGAAGAACAGCACAAACAAGATACCAAAGTTATAGTCAAGCACAGCCATCTTACTTCCTAGAACCACAGTTGCAAGGTATCTTTTTATCCTCCAGAGGAAATTTGTAGTTGTAGGTAATTTCTTCACCAGCAGCTATATGGCGTTTTGCATAAATGAAAATTTTCTTCTGACCTTCAACACTTATAACCTTGGTGTAGCAGTTAGGCTAACAAAAAAAAAAAAAAAAAAGTTAATTCAAATTATGACAATCAAGAAATAGCATCAATTTTAGAAAATGTAATCATTTGCAAATTAATTTTTGCACCTACCTCACAAGAATGGTTTATAAATCTTGCAATCCCACCACGCTTTGTGGCATCAACCTACAGAATTTAGGAAAGGCATACAAAAATAACTTATTTGCCATCAGAGTTTATAACAAACAACATAGAAGACAATGCAATGGTGATAAAAGCGGCCATAGTTGCTCTCCAATCCCAATATCAACTTTGTAGTTTGCACATGAGAGTAGCATTCACTAGAAGGACCACATGCCAGAAATAAATTAAAGAACAGTTTTGCTACAATGAAATAACACCAAAACATGTCTTGCAAACGGTCATCCATCTTCAATTAGGATTTTAAAATTTGTAATCAACAGTTGATGCCACCCAAACAACATGAATAGGTCATTAACTCCACATATGGTCACATAGGAAATTGATTGGGGAAAGAGGACACTTCTTGCTAAAAAATAGCCTTAAACGAAATCATGAAATTGAACTTTGGTAGCAAAAATGTAGACATGAATAATATTGATCTACTAACCACATAACCATCATCAAGTCTAAAAAGATAACTGCTGCCAATTCCCATCTTCTCATAAAGACGTTCACGCATATCAGATATCTGTGGAAAGTAGAAACATGATAAGAGGCCATCCATGAAATTGAAAGGAAATAGCAATAGGAAATGAATAATTAAAAGCTAAAAGCGATGGGGGGAAGTTTAGGTATTACAATTAAATTAACACACTGCAAGCAGTATTTAAAATAAGTGCACCAACATATTCAATTAGTTCACTTACTTGTGGACGAATCAGTTCACCAACATATTCAATTACAAAGTCCTCAGCCTCAATTGGCTCTAGAGCAACAAGACCCCAGTCATGTATCTTGCTTCTCTGGAAACGTAAACGCTTTTTTCTTGCCTAAAAAGAAACATGAAATACTTATTATTTGACAAAACATAATATTAGCATTTCTAGAAGAGCTTCATTTTTCAATCACCTTCAACTGTGTTGCTTTCAAAAGGTCAGCACCTTCTGCAGCAGCAAGAAGATTGCGAAGCTTCACCCTGTTTGTCCTTGCAGAAAGAGCCTTGCCATTTGACAACTGAGATGCATATGCCTCAGAACCTGAATATTTGGCATGAACACACTGCACTCCCCTAACACGAGCTCTTTCAGCACGGCTAGCATTAATTGACCATGCATGCCATTCCCAACCATTAATTGAACACCGTGCACAGCCATCAGATCTAGGGCAGGGATTTAACGTTCTGGATTTACTGGACTTTGTCTTCCGTACTGTAACCTGTCTAGTTGCCGCTTGCTTGATAGAACCATTTTCTACTTTCAGAATCTTCATAGGACGTGACGCAGATCCAACATCTCCAGTGCTTTTCCTTTTTGACTTTGACACCTTAATTGCTATACACAAGAAAAAATAATCAATAACAAGAAAGAGGGAAAAAAATGTCTTCTGCCCAACAAAACCGATCATAGCTTTTCGTACTGTTTAGAGTCTTCTTTGAACATTCATTAGTCTCTGCATTTTCAATTCCAACATCATGACCATTGCAATCAATAACTTTCCCAATCCTCTCCCTAGAGCTTTTTATACCATCTACTGTACTTTTCCTTTTCGACTTTGACACCTTATTTGCTATACACAAGAAAAAATAATCACTAACAAGAAAGAAAAAAAAAGTCTCATGCACAACAAAACATCATCATAGCATTTCTTACTGTTTAGAGTCTTCTTCGAACATTCATTAGTCTCTGCATTTTCAATTCCAACATCATGGCCATTGCAATCAATAGCTTTCCCAATCCTCTCCCTAGAGCTTTTTATGGCATCTTTGGCGACTTTATCATCTGAATAATAAATCATTAACAGTTAAAATTACATGACTTCATGATTATAAAGGCATTTCATCTACAAAGAAACGAAAAATTCTCAGAAAAAAGCATACCATTAACTGCTTGTGCGATCTTCATTACTTTCTGATGACCAGCATTTTTGGGCAATGACCGATCCCTTTTTAAGGTGTTTCTGACAGCGGCTTTTGAAGGCCTGGCATTAACAGATAATTCAGTGACAACAGCTTTCGAATGACAGGCATTAACAGATGATTCAGCCTGGCCCTTGGTTATTTCCTTCTTCTTAGGAGTCACTACAGGTTGAACTACTACATTCTCAGAGACATCTCTAAGAATGTCCTGCTTTCTTGACTTTTCCATAGGCCATTTCTGTGACCCAGCATCAACTGTAGTAGTAGAGTGACCAGATAAGCCCAACTTCTTTCCTGCCAACTTTTTCTTCCGGTGATATGTGTATTTACCTGAAGCCAATGACAACACCGAAGAGTCTGGATTGTGAAATTTCCTTGACCCTTCTGTGAGTTTGAATGCTCTGTCCTACAATTTTTACAACAGAAATACGTATCAATTCAAAGAATTTGAATACTTCAAAATTCCAAAAAGTATGCCATTAAAACACATCAACCAACAAAAATGTAATAGATGTAAAAACTGAATTATTCACCTTATAAAAAAAACACTTAAAGTTAAAATTAACAAATCCATACCTCACTGCTATCAGGCTTGGTATGCTTTTCTAAAGTTTGGCATAATCCAGAAAATTGATGAAGAACATCATTGATGAACAACGATTTCCAAACACTAAGTACGTCATCATGCAGCTTCTGCCTGCACATTGCAATGGCAACAAAGGCTCCAACCTTGGAAGTCAATTCATATGACTTTGAAGGTCGGAATTTACTTATAGTGGAAGGGAGAAGAGCACTATCCTTGAATCCAGGTGGTGGTGGCTCATCAAAGCTGTCATCATCAATTGAATTGTCAACAGAAGCATGTGATCTTTCAAAAGCAATAGCCACAAAATTGGATAAAGCGTTCTCAGCTTGAAGTGGCAAAAATGATTTTTCTGCTTGTAGTGAACTTTGAGAATCACCACAAAAATTTATCTCGGCAGGAATTTGGTTGGAATGAATCATCTGCTCATCTTTCATTTCTACAGAACCATACTCACTTGCCTGGTTGAATGGAATAGATAAGTCAACAGTTCCCTGCACAGAAGGAAAAGGCATGAACAGTAGAGATAAAGCTGCAAATCGACAGCCACAACCAAGTTCCCTTTATTTTCTCTAACCGCAATGGGAAAAAAAATGGAGAGAGAGCACAATAGTCTTACTGTTACCTCTTCTAATCTCTTCTCCTCCGGAAAATTAACTAATTTCTTCATTTCCTCTTTCACGAGAATTTCAACATACTCAACCAAAGACACCTTCGTGAACTTATGTAGCTCATTTGCTACACTTTCTAAGATGCATTTCATGTCATCATCCGGATAATCTTTGAGTGATAGTCTATTCTGTATGCATGACTTTTCTCCCACATGCTCACACGAAGATACAATTGATGATGGTACAATATGATCTGATTCAGTTTTGGGAAGCTCAAAACCAGGAGGACAGTCAACACTGCTAGCAGGAGATTCTTGCCTAGAAAAATACTGTAAAACCATTTTAAAACTCTGTTTTAGCTTATTTTACATATGCGGAACAAGGAAAAAAAAAGAACTCTGAATAAGCTCCCAACATACAGGTTCACTGGGTAATTCTTCAATCTTCTTGCACAAATATGGATGACTGAACCAACGTTTGCTCTTTCTCCAGGAAGTTGTATAATCTGCTATGGTATCATAAAAGACAGCATTCCACAGGACTTCCATGCAATAATCAGAAAGAAATCTACAAAGAACTGAGTAAGACCCCCAGAAATCATCAGTGTTTCCAACAGATTTTGTACTTCTGGGTAACTTCATGGACAACTCATCAACACATGCCTGATCAGAGTTATAATTGCAGATAGTGGCCTCACACTCAGGAGGAGAATAGTTCATCCTCTCACCAGAAAATTGGGACTGAAAAAAAATAAGAAGACAATAGTGAGGTAGGGTATGAAGAGGCAAGAAGAAATTCAAGCATATATAAAATCCCTAAAATTCCTAAGTATTACCATTGTATCATCCACAGAACCAGTTATGACAGCCTGATCATCAAGCTTAAGATATCTCTCTGCTCTCTTCGTATTAACAAACTCTGAAATGACATTGCTGATTATCTCATCTAATGCAACTCTACGAGCAGCTTTCAATATTCCAGAGTGCAGTTCACAGGAAAGTTCTTCAGAAATTTCAGATATCAATCTCGGAGATGAGCCAGTTTCAGTGTTTGCAACAGTTGTGGAGAAAGATTCAGGTTTATCCAATCGCCAATCCCTCAGAATGGATAGCAAAGGAAGGGGTCTAAACTTATTTTGAGCATGATATATCTGCCAAATGAGATGCACAGTGAAGGTTAAAATACAAGCAAAACGGTGAGAAACACAGTTGAACAAGTTTGAGGCAACTGCTTACCATTAATGAATCCTTAAGATATCCATACTGATGCCAAGAATAAAGCTCCAGAAGTGAATGTGGCCCATGCTTCCTCCCTTCATCATCCTTGAATAGCCAACAGGAATCTTCACCTGACTAAAAATACGTAAGAGGCATTTCAGAGGTGGAAGTAAGCTGGAAGGGACAGAAAGGGAAGAGATATGAAAGAGGCATGACCCGGAATCCATCAGGAAAAAGAAAAAAAAATTACGTTACAGTACCACAAGTGAAACTGGTTTAACATGCTCGGCTGCTTCAGGGTTGGAGGTTGGTTGGTTGGAGCCGTAAGTATTGTGATGAACATGAGAATCAGTTACTGATCCTGCAACTGGATTAGTAGAGACTGGAGTAGCACACTGAAGGCCTTCTTGCCTATGTGCTGCCAAATCTGTGGAATAATTTGTACGCATTGTTGTGCCTGAAGTACCAGAACAAAGATATGTAAAACCAGTGGAAACATGGTCAGGAAACTGCTTGAAGTACTTGAGAGGAACGGGATTGATCAATGCCCCATTTGCAATGGGATACACAGGAAGATCCTCAGGCAGGAAACCAGTAGATAAGCCCTCGTATAGCTGTTGGTGGATATAAGGACCACACATCTGTCCATTTTCATTAAGGTACATCCATCCACCAACAAAAGCAGGTGGTAAGTAGCCAGAGGAACTCTTTCCCTGGTATGAAGCCCAACCTGCATTAGACAACTCAGGAATACCATCACTGTTGCCATTAGACTTGCAACTCATCTCTGGTATGGAATTTGAACTAAATATTTTATCGTAATTGAAGCAGCAGCAGCAGCAAGACGGAGAAGTGGGAGCAGCATTAAAGCAGCAGAGACAGACAGCAGCATTGAGAGGCAGAATCAGAAATAGAAAAATCAAGAAAGTGAAACAAAGAAAACGATTGGGAAAGGTAGGGGTGCGGAGTAATGTAATACCCATTGAATGAGCATTCTTCTGCCTTGTTCATCGGCATGAATGAGTCGTCATCACAGTTGCCAATGGAGATATGTGCATCTTGTTGTTCTTGGTGCTGAAAATCTGAAATCTTCCACCTCTTTCTAGAGGAGAAAGAGAGATCGTCTTCTTCCTGCATGAGAAGCGTTGAAGAGACCATGGTTCTCCTTAGACCTGACCTGGATTAGGGCAGATCCTATTAAGCTTAGACAATGATAAATTGATAAGCAATGCTATGTATTAAGAAGAAAGAAAGAAACAGGTGGGTGATCAGACATCCTAGGTGCAATTAAATTAAATTAATTAGGGTTGAGATTATCCACAGAGATCGACCGAACGAAAACGAACAGTATTGTGTGCTCTTTCGATCGTAAATCTTGATCTCGATTATAAACAAAATCAACTCCTAACCTAATCTAATGACGACCGGAAAGATAATAAACTTAAGGTTAAGTCCGCGGCAGGTTTACCTGGTGGTGCAGCCGTTGTTCGAAGGCGATTAGGGTTAGGCTACCGGAGGAGAGGAGGATCTTCTCACTCACACGCACCCGCTTTAGGGACGCCAAACTTTTCTTCTTCTATTACTATTATCGGAGACTTTGCATCAGTCCAACTTCCGTATATATTATTGTTATTATTATTATCGTCTTACCATGGCCTTTTCCTTTTCGTTCGGGAATTATTTTACCATGATATTGAGATTTGATAGTTTTAACCCTTTATTATCAAATTACTTAATTTAAACTTTAAATTATTAGTTTTAAGATAAAATTAATTTTATTTTTTAATTATCATTATATATAACGATCAACTAAATTAATGATTATTTAAAATATTAAAATGAAATCGTTTTAATATTTCTTTATTAATTATATTTTTATAAAAAATATTTTAACCCTCTAATCTTGAACTTGTTTTTTACTTTGCTTCTTATTTATAATATTTTATGCATTATATAAAAAATATTTTATAAATATTTTTAACCCTATAATTTTGAATTTTTTAAAAACCTTTTTTATAAAATATTATAAACAATTTATAAAAAATATTTTTTTATAATTCATAAAATTAGACATGAAACTTTAATTATGCTTATTTTAATTTATAAAATATTTTTTTAAAGGTCTGGAATTGTGATTGCTAATTATGTCTTTTTACAATATTTTTTTATAAAATGTTTGTAATATCCAATGAGCATTAAAATGATTATGATATAAATTAAAATGAGCATAATTAAGTATTGACCCTCCTAATTTTATAAATTAAAAAAAAAGTTCCAACTTAGGAGGTTAAAAATATTTATAAAATGTTTATAATATTTTATAAATATTTTATAAGATTTTTTTAAAAAAAATTCAAGATTGAAAGGGTTAAAAATATTTTAAAATATACTTTAAAAAAAACATAATTAACGATAGAATGTCAAAACCATTTCATATAACGACATAGAAAAATTAGATTAATTTTATCCAAAAACCAATTGTTTGGGATTCAAATTATGTAATTTGATATTTAATATCTAAAATTGTTGAATCGCAATAGAATGGAAGCAAAATTTATCATTAAACCTATTATTTAGTTTGTCTCTACGACAATATGTACTTATAATTTAGGTTATTCTCGATTCTCTCTTATTTTAATAAATTAAGTTTGAGTTTTTCCATAAGGATATTTTTGTTGGTTTGAATGAGAATAGTTGAAGAATAATCCCATATCCAGTAACAAATCGTAAGTAACTAAACTTATAAAGATAGATTAGAGATTAAGTATAAAATATTAAGACAAGACGAGCCAATTGATAAATTATTATTGAAAACTTTGAGGTTGAGGAAGAAAATTCTCAAATTACTGCTAGTGCTTCATGTGCATTTTTCTACATCTCATAAGTACTAGTCCTTTAAAAGAAAAATATCATACATTATGATAAAAAATAAAATAAACATCAGAAATTAACTATAGACGAAAGGCCATAAACGACGAGAATATTATCATTTACCCATATAGTTGCTTTGTCGAGGAAATTAAAAAAACAAATAACCATTTATTTTTTTCCGCCATTTGATATGCGAATTTATGTGTATTTCTCTATATCTCATGGATGCTAATGCTTTTAAAAATGAAATATAATACATGATAATAATAATAATAAAAAAAAACATAGCAAATTAGTTATTCTCTACATTTGTTTCCAATGGTTGTAAAATGACTCAATTTTTTAAAATTTCTTCTAATTTTTTAATCATTTGCTTACTAACACGATTAATTGTTTGATTTCATGTTTTTGGTCCTCAACTAATCTTTATAGATAAAAGATAATTCATTTTGTTTTTTTTTTTTTTTCCATGGGTTTGTTGCATGCTAGAATTCACCTTGTCTTCAAGAACATGAACATGAAAGGACCACCTCCTTATTTTCAGCATCCATGCGCAGTAAATTATTCATGCTCAAGCAGTTACAATCAGGCTTTTTTGAGTTCACTAGAAAAGCCTTTCTAAGTTCAAAAACAAACAAGAATTTCCTTTACGACCTTACTGTCCCTGCATGACAGCCTGTCACTCTTGGTAATATGTTTGTGAAACTATAGTTTTGGAATCAACGAAGAATTTTACACAACACAAATTCAGTGCTTCCATGTGCTTTACAAATCAGATAAATGTGTTCTTGCTCTTACTTGCATCACGCATTAAAACTTTCAAAGCAATGCTCAAATCGAAGGCACTTAGGTTCAAAAAGGTAGCCCCTTACTTGCATTACGCGTTAAAACTTTCAAAGCAACGCACAAATCAAAGGCACTTAGGTTCAAGGTAGCATCAGGCCCAGCAAGGCAAATCCAACCCAAATCCAAGAATCTACGTCAATTTATACATGTATCCGATAAGTCAATCTATGGTCAAACCACCTCAATTTAACAAAATTCACATCCTATAGCTCGCATTCAAATATAAATTTCTCACAGTACAGAGATAAATTCTAACATTCTGCTTTATGAAGTTTGCTTCCTCCCTCGGTTGAAATGTGATGACAGTTTTGAAGATTAATTGGAGACTAGTGGGTCATTACAAATATTATGAGGAGAACTCCAACGCTACCATATCAGACTAGCGAAATTATTGTGGTTTTTTCTTTCTTTCTTTTTTTTTTAGGAATATTTAGTTTCCTCAAGTCCTGTAAAGTATAAACAAAGTATAAACTAAGTACAACTAGAAGCAAGTCCAAATTCATCAACATTAAAGTTCAATATCATCATCATGCTCCACTACTAGTAAGGAGACCAGATCATACTATGGTATGAACAAACTACACTAAACAGGAGGGGCTTTCTGTGGACACCTAGGGTGCTTTGACATTTTTTCCACAACCTTTTCTGGAAATATGGAACATATTAGTTTCCATAAATAGATGAAGTGATTATAGCTGTGAATTTATAGAGAACCGTAGATAATGAAACGTATAGTAGGCAATTTGACATTAATCAAAGAAAGTCAACCTCGTAAAATATTCTCAGCAACATGAATCAAAGAAAGTAAACCGCATTGAAAATAATTCGGTTTGGAAAACGTATATCACAGAAAACAAGACAAAAAATAATTACAAAGAGATAGAAAATATAATTCAACAAACAGCTCTGTATTTATAGCTTACCAAAGTTGGCAAGTCCTCACCTGGCGAGATGTCAAGGAACATAAAAATGTATAGGATGGATCCTGTCGCCAAACTTGTGATCAGCAAACCTGTAGTTGACGTTTGTTATCCCTGGCTAGGAGATCTTTTAGAAGATATCAACATTAGGATCAAATCACAGCTGTCACTTTTAATGCAATTTCTGAAACTGTTTTGACGTACATGATTTGGATGCTCTTCGTTCTCCAAAAACTCAAAATGGTCATCTTCAAATCCAATTCACTTTGGTTCTAGTCATTTTGATGCTGGGAATGAACGGATGCTGTCAATTCTGCTAACTGCTTCCTCCCAAGATTGGATACAAGTTCCATGGAGATAAAATGTTTTGGTATTGAAAAGTCTTCCTCTTTAAAATTGTATATAGGTTGAAGTTTTTTTGCTTCATCGTTTGCCGCCTCAGCCTCCGCAAGTAGGAGGTTAGCTTCTTCAATGTCACCTAGCTCTAGAGCAGCAAATCTTTCTGCTGTGGCAGCACCAGCAATTAATAGTAACCTATGGAATCTAGCCATGGCAACCTCCTTTTCCTTGGATAATATCAGTCCCTCGGTGGTTTGCAATCTGGTAACAGTGTCTTTAATATCTTCCTCGAGCTTCTCAAGCTCTAAAGTTTCCTTTTCCAAGTCAATCTGCAAACTATCCTTTTCAACACTCAATGACTTTGCCTCAGCAGCTATTCGTGCAGCTTCCTTGAAGTTTCTTGCAGCAGCAGCAACTTTCTTTTCTGCCTCCAGTTCTGGGACTCTTTTATCTATGAATAAAATTCTCTGCTTGAAGGATGATATATTTTGCTGGATGCTGGACTTAGTTGACGATAGCTCCTACAAATAGCAGAGAGAGAGAGAGAGAGATTTATAATAAATAAATGGTATCAACAAGAAATTTGAAAGATGAAGTTAATTGAATTGGCAATTTTCATGCTTGGACATGATATACTGATCATGAAAAAATAGCTGCTCTGCTTTAGGTTTTCAAGAATGTAACATTCGATCATGAAAAAATAGCTGGTCTGGCTTCGGTTTTCAAAAATGTAATATCTGATCATGAAAAAATAGCTGCTCTGGCTTAGGATTTCAAGAATGTAATAAAAAAGACTACTGAATAAAGAGCACTGAAATGCCAGCCAGGTGGAATCTATACAGGCTGAAAACCTTTTCTATCTAGAGAAACTATATAACTTTTTGTATGCATTCTATAGCTCGTGCAGTCTTCTGATATAGGAACATACTGATTTCGGTAACTCTAAGCTAAGTAAACAACTTTTGTGAAAATAGACGTTTTTAAACTTGCATACAAATTCAAACACCCTTAAAAAATAATACAATTCTGGAAAGATTAGATTACCGCAGGTTTGCTCAAGTAGTGAAGTCCAAATAAAGAGATCTACTTGTTCGCATGTATTTTCGGAAGAAAGAAACAAAAGAACATGAAGTATTTGGAAGTAAAACACACCTGCAGGGAACCTCTTGCAGCAGAAACTTCCTGTTGGAGCATCTGGACATCCAAGGTAAGCTTCTCCTCAGTCTTTGCCAGCCTCAATTTTTCTTCCCTAGATTTCAAAATGGATAACTTGAGGCTTTTTCTCAGCTCAACAACTTCCTGGTAGGCTTTTGCTTCATCTTCCGAAAGTCTGGCTAGTTCCCTAAGCTTAGCCCCACGGTCTTCCTCTCCAGAAAGGAACTTATCAATTTCCGTTCTTTTTGTGGATAATGCTTCACTCTGAAGGTGAATCTGAGAAAGGTGTGATTGCAAGTCATCAAACTTAGCGTTAACACTTGATTGAATGTCCTTGAAATCAGAGACCACCGCAGCAATCCTTTCGTCAACTGCTTTGATTTTAGTATCATTCTCCGCTAACTCCATTTCCTTCTGTTTGACTAAATCAAGAAGATGGTGCAGTTCATCATTGAGCACATCTTTTTTCTTACAAAGAATTTCTCTCTCATTCCTATCATCCTCGACTGAATGCTGGATAGAATCATTCACCTGCAAGCGTGCTTCCTTTATGAAATGTGACTCAATATCTAGTTCTATCTTCTTGGCCTCCAAGACTTGGGAGGATGAAAACCAATCATCGATTTCTTTTGAAGAAAAAAGCTGTGCATTCTTCACGATCAAATCTGCATTATTTTCTGCATCCTAGGAAAAAAGGCAGGAATAATTAGGCCATTGTAGTCATTCTGTTAGGTGTTTTACATGGAATGGAATCGGTAAAGAAATAGAGAGACATTGTGGAAGTAACAGTAATGTGGTAGTGACCTTAGCAAAATGTAGAAGAAGAGAAGCGCATTCTTGCTCAGCAGCAATCTGGGAGTCAAGAGCATGGGACATCTGAGAGTCGATAGCATCGCAGTGGGCTTCAGCGTCTCTGAGAGTAAGAAGCAGAGTTTGCCTCTCCTTCTCAGCAGCAGCAAGGCTGTCGCTAATCCTTTGGGCGGTCTCGAAATCTTCGGCCTCACAAGCATCCTCCAACTGGTGTTCTAACTGAGCGTGGTTGGCAGATGCTAAATTGAGATCCTCAGCAGCTTTTCTTCTCCTTGAGATAGACTCCTTGCGGGCGGCAAAAACAGAGACAATCAAGAGCCGAGCGGTCTCGAGCTTGTCAAAAGTTTGGGCTTTAATGTAGTCATATTGGGACAAGGTTTCATCTTTTTTATTTTCGAATCGTGAATCTGAGAGGGAATTACCAGCGTCGGCATCATCATCGTCATTAGGATTGGCAACAACAGATGATGGCGATTGAGAGGCATCATCGTCGTCATGATGATGATGATCAACATTGAGGTTGTTGCGATTGGAAGTAACAAGAGGAGAAGGAGGAGGATGAGAATGATCTCTGGCATAGCCGATCCTGACGGTAGCAGCTCTCTTTTTCTTTCTAGAAGTAGAAGAAATCTGGCGGGAGATAATTGTAGTTGGATGAGCAGAAGTATTAGTATTAGAAGTAGGAGAAGTGGTAATTGGATCGGATTGGGTTAGGGTTTCGAGGGAAGAGAAAAGGTTTTCATCAAGGGGCTCTGGTAATTGTTGAGCTTGATGTAGATGGGATGATGCTTCTGCTTCTGGTACTGCTATATTATCGTTTCTATTAACAATTGTATCATCAGATTCAGATGCAGATTTTTGTGGATGTTTAGGTGGAGGATCATCAAGAAAAGGTTGTTGTTGTTGATCAGGTTGTTCATCGGGAAATTGATTAGAAGGTGGGAACAAAACCATCCCCTCAAACAGCGAATCCATGCCATCCTCCTCCATCGTCATCGCCATTGCTCCCCCGAACTACTATTCTTGTTATCTGCTCTTTCTTAACCCAGTCTTCTCTTCACACTACTAACTACTGTTTACTCCCTCTTCTCTCCTCTCCTCCCCTCTCCTCTAGTCCTCTGACTCTCTCGCTGCTCTCTCTTTCCGTTTTTGGGCCGCGTCTTATTATTACCCACTCCAAACGGTGGGCTCGGCCTCTTTGCTGGTGTGGCATTATGGCCCATTGGTTCACAAAAAATGTAAAATTATTAATGGGCTTTGCCCTTGCTCTTTTGTGTCGTGGCAAAGGCTTGATCTGAATGGAATTGTATTCCATCAAATATATATACGTACATTCCTTAATAATTATATTAATAAATATGTATGTGTGTCTACGTAATGGTTTTAGTGGTATGCATAATATATCGATCACTCCCACAAAAATAAAAAAGAATATATCAGATAATCGAATCAAGGTATTCAAATGGTCACATGCGTCAGTTTCTTTTTTTTTTCATTTCTGACGATGACGAATTTTTAAGGGTTGACTTGTATACGTATATGTATACGGATGGTAAGGCATTCATAAAAGTACTATATCATATCTGGCATAATATATATATACATATGGTGGACTAGCTAGCTAGATGTGGAGGTGGTATTATAGTTTCTCTTCTTTTTTTTTTGCCTTTTTTCTTATTTTTCTGGGCGACTCGATGACAATAATTGATCAATGTGTGTAATAAGTACGTATGAACCATGGGAATAATACTTCTTTTTTTTTAATAATTGCAATTCCAAATAAATTAAAAGACAACATGCCTTATACCTCTTCTCCCTGCGTTCTTCACGCGGTTCCTAGCTGGCTGTCACCTCCTTTCTGTTTACGTAGTACTGGCTAGAATCAATTATTAATAGTAATGAATACATGCACACGCACTACCTAGCTATAAAGAGTACGCCATATTTATGTTGAATTCCATTTTTCCAGTTTCACACTGCAGCTTACCTGATCAGCTCAGCTCAGCTCAGCTAGCTCCGCCCGCTAGCTGAAAACCAAATTACGCGCTGCTTTTAATTATTTAGAGTGTGAAAAATAAAATTTCTGGACATTTTCTAATTGCAATTTATTTTTGATGTCCGGAAAGATGGACTTAATTTCAATATATATATATATATTGAAAAATTTTAAAAATTTATACATACACAGAGATTAGTATGTGATTATGGAGGTTTAATGGTTTATCTAAAAAAGAAAAAGCTGGAGCTTGTTTATTTATTTATTTATTACGTATGTTACAGAAGCTTTAATTAAAATAAAAGGTAGCTAGCTAGACAATCTGGCTACATGTAAAGTAAAAGCTAGCTGAACTAACCTTCCGCGGCCACCTCCTTCCCATCCTAATGATAATAATAATAATAATTTATACATACACAATCTGGCTACATCTTAATTTAGTTTTTGGTTTTATATAAATTGGCATCATCTGATCTTTGAGTTTCCTTCAATTGTAACTGTTCGATTTCTTCTTCATCAATCAAAGTATAGTATTGCTGGATCGATCGAGCAATAAAGTAAAGGCAAGCAATCGACATTTATAGTGCGTAGCAATCATCATCGAGCATATATTGAAGCAATCATGAGTGGAATCGTGAGAAAGCTATGGTGCTGTGGAGCAAAAGGGTTCCCGTCCTCAGCTGAAGATGATCAAGATCATGAGGCGGCACAACCACCAGCAGCGGAGGGCCACATTCGAGTGTACGTCGGGAAAGACAATATTCAGTGCAAGTTTGAGATGGAAGCCCATTTCTTAAACCATCCTCTGTTTGAAGACCTGCTTCGTTTATCCGAGCAAGAACATGGTTACTCTTACGATGGGGCATTGAGGATTGCCTGCGAGATCCATCTCTTCCAATACCTTCTTCACCTCCTTAAGACTGGCAATCCCACTGCCCATTACATGCAACTTCCTGATCTCATTTCCAACTTCCACTCTACTACCGCCCACCATAAATATCCTCCTTCTCCTCCTCTAAATATTCCACCTTGTCAATATTCTCACTGATCATGATCAGTACATGTATACTAATTATATACAAATATATAATTCATTTTGTAATACCGGCCGGCTCCGACTTAAAAGTGCAAAGCGGATTACACAACAAATATTTAAACTGGAAAAATTAACAGCTAGTTTGTGATCCAATTTCTTTCTGCTCTCCTCGGAAAGATATTGCAATTCTGCTAGCTGACACTGCTCGCGTAACTCAAAATTTTCACGAGTGCGTATGTAATGGAGTTGCCCATATAGATTAGCAAGAAGAGCTGCGATGCTACTTACTAAAGTAAAGTGTTGGTGTCGTAAATTTTAAATGATTGTTGTCTTATGGGAATAGCAATTCCATTTGATGAATTTAGCAATACCCTGATATTAATACAATAGGTTTTTTTTTTTTTTTTTTATATTGTAGTCCATTAATGGCAATTAATAAATATTACCACCAAAATATTGAATCATGTTTTCCATCCCTGCCCTAATTTCAGCAAAAATTTTCAATGCCAAAAAATGTAATAATAATTGAGGGATTTTTCTTCAGTTTGCAAGCAATGCATAAAAATCCGATCAAACTTTATGATTACAATGGTTTAGGATGCTGCTTTCAGATCAAATTATAGTTAGATTGATGTAGTACACAGCCCGTTTTTTTTTTTTTTTTTCATCAATTTATGAATAACAACAATAACAACAACAATAGTGATGGAGTTTTCTTGGATTTTATGGACAAACATAAGATGTTTACTATGGTTTTAATGTTGATCCATGCAAAGTTTTTTAAAACATTAAACTGAATTAATTAAAACTTTAAACCTTATTATACTATAAAATCGTGAACTTAATACTTTTTAATTATTTTAGAATATTCTTTCAATATTAAACAGAAAAGATATGAACTAAACTTCTAACAATTATATTAACATGTGTGAATTTTTTCAATTTAAATTCTATTTTCAATTGATGTGACGTGATTAATAGGATAACAATATGGTATAAATATCACATAAAATTACATATTCTACATGACTTATTTGATAAATTAACTCTCCAATTATAAACTATATGTCAATCATTCCCAAACCCAATTGAAAACTCCCTAATCCCCAAATTACAAAACCAAGAGCCTTCCTTCTTCTCATTGCAAAATCCCTAATTCTCTAATAAATTATATTAATATTTCATTTGTTTTGGTATTGAACTATTCAAGCTGCGCTGCAAGATGCAGGGGAGAAGCAGTGGAGGAGTGAGCCTATAAAAGTGTGGCTGAAAGACCTCAAGGATGCAGCTTATGATGTTGACGATCTACTAGATGAGTTTGCAGTTGAAGCTCAATGGCATCAACAGCTAAGGGATCTCAAACATCGACTAAGGTCCTTCTTTTCATGTGATCATAATCCACTTGTTTTTTGACAAAGAATGGCTCATAAATTGAAGATTGTGAGAGAAAAAATAGGTGCCATTGCCAAAGAGGGACAAAATTTCCACCTAAGAGAGGGGGTTGTGGAGATAGAAGCAGACAGTTTAGATCAACGTCAGACTTGGTCATTGGTAAATGAATTAGAAATTTACAAAAGAGGCAAGCAAAGAGAAGATCTGGTCACCATGCTGCTCATTAGTTCAGATGATTTCTCTATTTATGCTATATGTGGAATAGGCACTTGCTCAATTAGTCTACAACAATGGAAGTATAAAAAAGTATTTCGATTTACAAATTTGGGTGTGTTATCTGTTGATTTCAACATAAAAAGATTGACAAGAGCCATCATAGAGTCGATTGAAGGCACTTCTCCAAATATTCAAGAGTTGGATACCCTGCACGGATGCCCCTAAGAAAAGTTAGGGATTTTGCAATGAGCAGAAGGGAGACTCTTGGTTTTGTAATTTGGGGGATTAAGAATTTTTCAATTGGATTTAGAAATGATTGACATATAGTCCATAATTGAGGAGTTAATTTGTCAAATAAGCCACATAACATCCTACATGACATTTATGTTATACTATCAACCATAGCATGTCAACTAAAAATAAATTTTAAATAAAAAAATTCATGTATGCTTATATAGTTACTGTAGATGAGGGTTCTTGAGAACTGATTAGATGACTGGTTGGCGGGTTAGTCAAGATGCAAAGAGTTACCGTTGTGACTTGTACACGGTCAACCAATCAAGTAGAAAGGATGCAAATAATGAGAGACGTAGAGGGAGAAGCAGGCAATGTTAACAAGACGCAAGTTAGATGACTAATAGGTGAGCAAGTCAAAGTTCAAACAATTAGAGCTTTGAGTGTTGTCTGATGTGTGAATAGGAGGGTTTTAAGATAAAGAGTTTAGGTGTTTCTTTTGTTAAAAATTAAAAATTATTAAGTTAAAAATTCTCATATGTAAAAATTTTCATCCTCTCGTAATGATACGAGGTTAGTATTTATAACGAAAGAAGTGCTCGCCTCCCTTGGCCTTGTGGCATGGTTCTTGCCTTCATGGGAAAGTCAAGCGGAAAATGCTTCCTTATTTACTTTAGGTGACTGTACTTGTGGGAAAATAAGAGTTCCTCTTTTATTTTTCCTCTAATATATGCGCAATGCTAGACACTGGACGGGTATTGTTTAGTAACAGAGAAGCCCGCAGCAAGAAACAATCAGGTGAAGCAGAACACAAGCCACACCAAAACTGCGAAATCCCCCAAGGATATAAGATGAGTCCGAGCAGTTCTGAGCAGACAACTAATGACAAAGCTGAGCATTGAGAGGAACGAAAGGCAAACCACCAAAAAACACCGAAAGAATTCAGGATGCCACACCTAAAAGAAACAAAAATGCAAAGCAAAGCAAAGTAGAAAACCGGACCTCAAAATTCATTCGAGCAAGACATGCAAATGAAATATTCCATTAATAGCAATAACTGGCACTGAAATATCGCATCACAATTTTACTGCCAACATCGCAATCAGTGCAAGTTCTTGCAAAGAACCAGACACCACTTTCAGGCAAAAACATAAACGACTTACTATAAGAGCTTTTTTTATACCAATATATGGAGTTTACAGTTTCTTTATCGCATCACAACTCCATTGTTAAATCTCTTCCCACATACAAAAAAATAATTAAAAGATAAGCAATAATTAATAAATGAACAGCTGGTTTACAGAAATAGGACACCAATTCTAAGATTATGTGTGAGGGTGGTCAGCCAACAGAGACTGCTTGCAATGCCATAAATGAGGCAAATAAGCCAACCATGTTGAAGCTGAAATAAATAAAAAGACCCAGCCAGGAGCAAGCAGGTCTAACCCTTAGACTCTGCAAGTTCAAGATCCTTCAGAGGGATTCTTTCCACTCCCTCCTTCAGTAATCTGATTTCCTCTTCTGTCAAACTGTTCTTAGTATTGGGTGCAGCCTTGGCATTTGAACTCTTTTCAGCCTCCACCGCCCAACTATAGACTACCATACCAACAACTGCAATAATCATCCCCATTATGTTCTTGAAAGTCATCTCAGAATCAAAAAGAAGCCACCCCAGTGTGAGAACGCAAACGGTTTTCATGTGACCCAAAACCTGGAAGGATGTAGCTGAGAATCTACCAATGCAGAGGTACTGGCTGACATTGCAGAACACAGCAAGGGAGCATGAAAGAATTATGAACAGCTGCACAAATTCAAACAGGTTATTAGCTAAAAAAGTTGGCAAAGGTTGTTCCACTGCATAAATGATGCGGCAAAGCATAGAAATCCATAGACTACAATGAGAATGGAAAAAAAAAAAAGGATGATCTTACAGTGGCACCAGAAGATAGCTTATAGTTTGTAATGAATTTGCCATTAAGGTAGTAATCAATGAATGGACCAAGAATAAGGAGAGAGACGGCTTGAATTGGTGCTGTCCTACTCAGCAACTCAAAAGATCCAATTGAGTACTTCTTCTGTAAAGAACCAATAGTCTGTTTCACAAAGTCAAATGAAATGAATGAAAATTTGTTCCACAAACATTACCAACATGTAACATTGTATTTTGCGATAATGTGCTTTGATATCACAACATAGCCATACATGCTCATTGGACTACATTCCATACCTCCATTCGTTACTAGTACACTCAGTATATCATGCCTTGGAAACAGTAAATAGAATAAAGTTATGACTCTTGCCCACTGTACATATTTTCTTTCAAAACCTTTTAACGAAAAAATGATTTTCGATCTTTGTTGGACGGCCTGAAGCTCTTCCTTGCAGCCCAGAGTGCATTAGAAACAAAAGGTGAATATTATTTCATAAGAATGGGGCCACTCCTCCCTCCCACTATCATAACTGAAGCCTATTCGTTGACTTATTGGGATAGAAATATATCAATAAATGCCGTATTGACATCTATATGGCAAGAAACCATATCAATCGGTTTTGCTTCCCTATTTATTAATCCTTAGAATCCTCAACCTCTATCTTACAAGGCTAGTGTTTACCAGGGGTTCATTTTCCTACAAGAAGCGTCTTTGTGGAGGTAAAATCAAAATCATCAAAGATCAAATGTCACCAAAATGTGCACGAAGATAATTAATTTAGCACACATGTCCTGCGATGGGGCTTGCAGGCGAAAACAAAGCAAAGGTATAATAAACAAAGTGAAAGGAATGTTTAAAAAATACTCACAATCTGTTGCAAAGAGGTAGACAAAACTGCTAAACAGGCGCATATAAAACCCTTGGCATTAACCTTGACATCAGTGACAGTGCACACACCAACACCTACAACGACAACGAGAACAGATAACTTGACTTCCTTGGAGTATTGCTTACTGTGAAGGATCCACTCCATAATGCAAACCACTGGGATCATGCTGAGCTTAGAAATCTGAACCGTACACAATTAATTACGACATTTAGCTATGGTGAAAAAGAAAATTTTACTAGTAAGGGAAAATGTGTGATGGGGGCTTCTAAGAGTGTCAATTAAAAGAAGACAGAAAGGAAAAGTAGATCTACTTAGTTGTTGGAGTAATTAGAGGTAGAGATAACATAATACTTGGTAGAATCCGACAGAGTTAAGCATGAGACTCAAGTTCATGCCAGTGATGGAGACATTGGCAACAACAGAGAACCAGAGGAGCTCCCACATAGGGACGTGCTTTGATACAGAGAGACCAGTGGCATTTGAAACGAGGCCGACAAGAGCCGTTACAGCAAAGTGGAAGCCCGTTAGGGTTGTGGCTGCAATCAATTGATTCAACAGATCAATCAAATCAAATCAATAATTATGAACATGATATAAATGAACAGATCTAGAGATAGAGATAGAGATAATAATACCAAAGCTGAAAGCATAACCGCTGGAGGACATGAGCTGCTTATTGGCCATGATAATACCAACAGAGCTGATGACGTTCATTGCCCAGGCTCCCACATCCGACACCGCCGACTTCTTGTTCTCGCTCTCCATTTTTTTTTAATTTCTTTCTAAATTGAGATTCGATGTTCTAACAAAACAGATCTCGAAGAAATCAAATAATAATAGTAAGAGAGGAGAGGAATCAAATCAAATTAAATAAAATCAAATAGTAATATGTATGTGTATATAGATTACAGAATAGAATGAAAAAAACAAAAAAAGGAAACAACAGAGAAAAGAGGAGTAGGTGGTTTTTGCTTTTGAATGAATGGTCAGAATAGAATGGAGTAAGTACTTGGAAGGAGCGGAGGAGATCCAGCACTGATTCAAGAATAACAAAAGAAAGAAAGAAAGAAAGAAGAGGAAAAAAGGCAGGCACTGGCAGTGTGCAACTTGTGTGTTGTGTTGAGTCGTGTCGAGTGGCCGTTTTAATTTGAGTTGAGTTGCGGATGCGGTGGGGGAAACAAATGCTTTTCTTTCAGTTTTTCACTTTCACGTTCTCAAAAAATCAACATCCCCAATCGACGTTTCCTCTCCCTTTCTCTCTCTTGTGTGTCTTCCCTTAATTCTTCGATTTAGTAAGAGTACTAAATAGGTAGTATTTCTAATCCAGATACGTCCCTCGCTTAGGTTGCCTAGCCGTTTCTTACCTTTCCCTTTCCTTTTGTTTTATTAATTAATATCCACGCCCATTTTGTTTTATTAATTATTTTTTTTAATATTTACATTCTACAACAAGCAAAGTTAGCCAACGAAATACCATGTACCCTTCCGCTTTTATTATCCTTCTTCTTCTTCCTCTTCTTCTACTTATTATTATTATTCTCTTCTTTTTGACCGTTTACTTGTTTTGCGTTTAACTCCACCTTTAATAATAACAACAACAACAATTTCAACGCCACCCTCTTCAAACTTTCGTCCTTCTTTCCGAATAGGAAACGCAAATTGTTTAGCTTTGTATGCAAACAAATCGTACATACATATCTTATTGTTTTTTTTTTTTTTTTGTTGACCTTTCTATAAATTGTATCCCGAGCGGTGGTTTGGCTGTGTTCATTCATTCTCCACCATACCTCACTTCGTCTTTGGTCTGCCTTTCAATTAATTTTATTTTTATTTATGTAAATCTTACATTTCTAAACAATTTAGCTCTTTAATAGATCCTACATGTAAGAAGAAAATTACAGCGAGGCAGCCATGTCGCATGAATACTGCAACTCAACTCATTTTGTAACCTCTGCACATGAAGGGAAGGAATTGATCTTATTTTATGCCACAATTGGTGAATGACGCCAATCTGGTAAGCATCTTGTGCATGTAGTGGCAAGGCTGAGCACCCGCTGTACATCTCCAACCACACCAATCAATTATTGTTCTGTGATTGGGGAAGAGATCACCATTAGGCTAAACAAAATAGTATAGCAACATTTGGCTGGCACTCTTCAGTCTCTTCCTAATAATTTAATTTATAAATAGTTATCTCTACCTTTTAATAATCTTCCATCAACTATCCCTGCACGAGAACGAGAAGTTAAAAGAGTATAGCATACATAAAGATTAAGGGACCATTTTACAACACTAATTTTTTTTCTTTTTCTTTTGTTCTTTTCCCCCTTGCTCGATCCAGACTTGGAAGGAGGAACGGGGACTGGAGAATCAAATAAGTAAACCCCTAACTTAAAAAGTTGCAACCACAATACCATTCCTTTCATGCTTACCAAGGAATCATGATTCTTAATTTAAAAAGGTTTCCTGCAATCTTGCAAGGTCGATCAAGCAACAAGCATAAAGAACAGATAGCTCCACAGACAATCAATATCAATCTTGTTTGCTTTATCCACTAGAGTACCAACAATACATTAATCACCCACCAAGTAACAAATACACTAAGCAAAAACCTGAACCTGAATGTACATCTGTGAAACCATAAAACATACAAAGCCCAAGAAAACTACAGAATAATACAGCACAGGCCAGCCATCTAGAGAAAACATAAAGAAACATCCTCACCTTCTACAAACCCCCCTCCTTTTCTTCTTATGTATTAATATTTTCTTCCATACATACATAAATGCATAAATCACACAATGCCTGCTAAAATGGATGAGAGTTGGGCTTTTCCATGAATTAATCAACAAATGAAAATTCATGCCTTTCCCAGATTAAACAACAATGGCATACAAGCTTCTCACACATGTGATCATCATTTTCCACCCTCAGTCGCTGCCTGTTGAAGAATGTTTCTGTGCACCAGGAGGTGCCGTTGGCCTTGGGAAGTTGCAGTTAAACTGAGCCCCATCAAAATGAGGAGCTTCCACATAGGGGCTCTAAAATATCCAATAAATTCACAGCCAACAAAAAGAACAAGAAACGAAAAGGAGAAAGAAATCAGTAATATGAACAAGAAAAGTTGGAAACTATATTAGATGAACAAGAGTGGAAATTTAATAGATCTCCTTTTCTCTTTCAATCCCCCTCCCTACCTTCCATTTTCCTAACACCTAAAAAACGGTCGGGACTGTTCAGGCATTCATTGGAGATACATTAAACATAAAAATCCAACACATCAATTACTCCCTGTTCTTACACTTTGTTAGGCAATAATTAAACCTTAAATATACCACATTAACACCTAACCACTCTAAATGGCTATATGTGGGTGGAAGGGTTGGTCGTTTGCACATGTGTATCTATGTAAAGTGAAAATTTTTTGTTTAATATTTTCTATTTCATTATTTTTTCAAGTCAAAAGTTTCATTGCTCGGTAAAAGTCAAAGCTCTACAAATATCGTCACAAGAACTCAACGCAACACAGAACTTAAGTCTCTCCTGCAGACAAGTCCATCACCCCATCTCTGCAAAGGGAATAAGACTGAAAGTAAAGTCAGCACTGTCTTTGTTAACTTAACTTCCTTGTAGCACCAGCAGACAAATTAGCTACTCACAACATACACTTTCACATCTGTAGTGGCATTGTTTATGCTCGCTTACAGAGTTTTACCAAAACTTGTTTGGTTCTATCAATCCAGTTTCCAATTAACATACAAACATCTACCCCTAGTTTGTTCCTCTCCCCCCCCAGTTTGTTGTTAGAAGCACTGTTAATTGTAAAAGCTTTTTCTTCTCTTGGTTGTTCTTGGCAGTTTTTCTTCCTCTGCACACACACACACACTCACACAGCATAAAGAAGCAAACTTTATCTTCACTTTACTTCAGCACTTCTGTACCAACCAAAAGGGGCAGAAATATGAAAAAGTTTATGCATGAAAGGGCCCTGCCTACTCAATCTTGTCCTATACCTGATTTTGTAACCTTGCCTAACTTTTCCTGGACTGTCTCTCATAAACTAATATTTGAAAAGTGATAAAATCACATCAGTTTGGCCATGAACACACCTATTAATACTAAAAAGTTGAAATGCCTTGAAGCCTGAAATATATAAAAAGGAGATACAGAAGTTGAAAGGAAGCAATCCCCTATGAGTGAAATGCTGGAGACGAGAAAAATACCTGTGACGCCAATGTATCATAAGATGCCTCTTCAGGACTTCTAGATTTCGGTGACGTGCTAGGAGAACAGGCGTCAGAACTTGGTTCTCTTCCATTCAGTTTATGTAGAGAACCATTGAACGCAGTTTCACCCTCACCTCCATTGGCCGATTTCACCCTCTATAGTCAGAAAATTCAGTAAGTCTTAGATGCTTGAGGAAATAACTAATTTCACAAGAGAAAATGCAAATGACCATAGGTGAAAGTAATACCTGGAAGATCTTACCAAGAGTTTTCAAACCCTTGGCTCGTGCACGAAGCTCCTCTCTCTTGACACTGTTGTCTTGAAGAACCTAAAATGAACCATCAATTGATTACCACCAAATAAATTGAACCTATTATCCAACTCAGTTTTAGCCAACAACCATTAATATCTATGGACTAGCAAAACAACCATCTGACAAACACGGGAAAGAGTGGCCTCGATGTCAGCTACATTAAGCTTCCACAGGGAATCAATCATCAACTTCTTGTGGGATTGCATGTATTCTTCAAGCTCTTCTTCAGTATAGTTCCCTTCTGTACTGAGCTGTTTTTTCATGTCCTCTTGTAACTGGATCAAGGCAATGGCACCTGGCAAAACCAGCCACAAAAGAAAAGGAAAAAAAAAAAAAAAAACCTTAGATAGCCTATACAAATATCTCTCATGCAGAAGACCATTGTGCAACAAACAGTTGAACTTTTCTTATTGACATAAAACAATTTGAGATATGCAATGCTACATGCAGAAGATGCATACACAGGCAGGTGTGTGTGAAGAGAGATATGCATGCCCAGCACACTGGAAATATATCAGAATCGGATACCACTTTTGACACGTATAACCACTCTGAAAAATGGTCCAAGAGCCTGTATGGTTTGACCAAAATGAGGATCAAACAAGTAACCACCCAGACATGGTTATGATCAAAGCCATAAGTGTCTACCAACCTGTTGCTGCAGTTACTTGGGATTTAATAAAGTGGCCTTTGTTTCTAAACCACTCGGCAATGAATGGCACACCCAGATACATTGCTTTCTTCCCGAGCTCTTTTGCTGCTTGTCTTACATAAATGTAACCAATTGTGTTCAACATATCAACACCGTAAGCTGTAAAACATTTAGAACAAAAAAGGAATAACAAGTGTTCAGCATTGTGTCGAAAGGAACACGGGATAAGAAGGATTGCACAGGGCAGTGTTTAAGCTCAATTTGACCAGTCATTGACCAAACTTTGTCTCAGCTAGTATGAAAAGCAAAAAGACAAGAAAGGGATTTCTGTTCCCTAAGATTAATTAAATTAAGGTAATTAAATTCATAAGAATTAAGTGTTGTTTATTACAATTTTGTGTCCTAAACTGTTGTGTCTTATATATTATGTCTTATAATCCTCATAAGATGCATGTGGTGCTTTTGTTTTGTGCTTTGTTGTGATCAATCCAGGGTCATGCTTTGTGCTCCTGATGACTCTTGTGGTGTTTCAATTCTCCTTTCAGTACTTTCCATTTGGCTATAAGCAGACTCCACAAAACAACTATTCAGACATGCCAATTCCCTCAAAAGATTGAAGCCTTGCAAACTAAATTCACTTGCTTCTCTTTGCCATGCCAAAACCCAGCTTTAGTCAACTAGCTAGAATTTGACTAATGAAACGGTTTCTTTCTTTATTTTAATTTTTCCAGTTGGATAAAGTTCCATACTGATGTAGATAAAACAATAACCTTAAACAACAATTTTACAGTTACCAAAAAAAAAGTCAGTATAGAAACTTTCAAGCAGAGGTTCTTTTAGCCTATAAGCTTCAACTGTAATTAAAACCTAACTAATATGCAAAACCTTGATTCTTTTTCTTCATGAGCACCAAAATCCTCACTTTTTCAACTGTACCGACCACATAAGCATCAGGAAACAAACGTCCCATACATAAACAACAGAATCAATTTTCATCCCTTTTGGTACAACCACATGTTATGTTAAGAATTCCTCATGCAATCCCCATCCTAATCAATTAAACGTCAAAATTTACGACTATTTCAGTCAGCAAATTCATGCATCGGACACTAATGGGTTCAAAAGCCATAAACCATCACTTGAAATGAAAAAGAAAATACAATCGTGAGAGTAAAAATCTAGTGAAAATGGGAATGGTGCGTTGGCTGTTTCATGAGTAGATTCTAGATTTAGAAAAGTACTCCAGAGTTTAGTTTTCCCCAAAGTTCAATTTGAAGCAAAAGAGCTGGCCAATTCAGCTTGAAATAAGACCAGGCAGACACAGATTACTCATCTCTTATTGTATTGCTGTCTTTTTCATTCCTTATCCTTTAAACTATCATTTCCAGAAAGTGAAAATTTACCTGCATTTGAGAGCCTAGCTACTTCAGCTTCGGCGTGCTTAACGAACTCCTCTTTGTTGCCTTGTACATATTGATTGAGTCGATCTTTCAGTATTTCTACAAGCTTTTCCTCCCTCTCCTTCTGAATAACCTGTTGCAAAAAAAGTTTGAAAAACACAACCCTTAACAACATAGATTTATCAGCAAATATTTGAGTAACAAAACAGAATACATCTTCAATGCTCAATCCAACTTAACCAAGCCCAGGCATAGACACATGAAATACAAATTTTACAGATAAAACTTCAAGAAAGTGTTCCATTGAGGTTTTAGCGTTCCATGTGAAAATTAACAACAAATCTTAGGCTTTATGAAATGCTGCCAGCTGTTAAATTGATGTCAGTGTACCTCACGGCATGCAATTGCAAAGCCCAAGCATCCATCTCAGTGCCATTAACATATCAACCTCAAAATGCTTTTCTTTTCCTCCTCTTTCATCTTTTCAGTGTTTTTTTTTTTCTTTTTTTTTTGCCCACAATAATGCTCAAAGAATATCTGCAGGGCTTACTTTAATCACAAGTACAACTTATGTTCAGCCTCTGTTATGGCTATGCATTATACTTTAAAAGCAACTCCTTTGTTGTTTAATTGCCAAACAAAGGATGCATTTGTGCTCTGATTTGGTTTGAGATTTATGATAGTTACAGCAGAGGTTTTAACACTCCGCCCAAAAGCCCTCAGTTCTGACAGTAATATCAGCAAAGAGGAGCAAGAAAAATTCCTTGTGGATCACGGGGTTGAAAACTCACTTTCCCTTGCTCTTTTTGTTGTATCATTCGCTTCTTGTCACCATTTAAATTCCTCAACAGTAACAAGACTCAGTTAAAGAAGCAGCAAGACACAAAAAAATAAGCATGCAAAACAAAATATTAAAAAAGAAAAGAAAAGAAAAGTTCTAATGAAAAGCCAAAGGTTAAGTTGGTGATAAATAATGGTATCCTATGGATCTTACCCTCATTTTCTCTTGCAACTTTTTACTATCCACTTGTTCCCCTTCTGTGAAAATGTCTTGTGAAGCCATTGATGCCATAGCAAGCTGTCCTATGTAGTCCTCGAAAAGCTCACTACCAAAAAGCATTGCAAAAATTGCTGCAGGATCAATGATTGCGTCGCTGCAGACAATTAAGAAGATGTAAACAAACGTTAAAAAAAAAAAAAAAAAGATAAGGAAAAATTTATCAAGCTCAGCATACATAGAAATCTATGAGGTGCCGGACAATCCAGCAACCTTAAAATTCATTTATCCATGGATTAAGAATAAGAAACTAACGTTGAGATTCCAGATTTTCCATAAGCATCATATGCCTGCCGCTGGGAAGGATCACTTAATACCTGGTATGCCTCTCCCAATACCTGGATCCAAAAGAAAGAAACCTGAATAAGAGAAAAGCCTAAGCTTTCAATACCTGAATACCTATTTCTGTTCCTGCCAATACATAACATGTATGTCACCCATTAGTCTGACCCAAGAATGAAAACTTAGAATTCAAGATATATCATATGCAGATTAGATAGCTAGAATCTTGTTCTCTGTTTTACCAACAATAGCTAGTACGCATAACTTGATCCTAGAATATGACTAACAATTTATTTTTTAGGCTATGTGATGCAGTTCGAAAGAGGTTGAAGAAAAAGCAAATTTAGAGATGAAATCTATTCAATCTTAAAGAAAAATTTGGTAACTTGGGATCCACAAAAACACTTTGTGGTCAACATTGATTGTTGTTTTAGGGGTTTATTTAAGTTAGGAGAACCAATCTATGACCAGAACCGCTGGGGAGGCAGAGTACTAGTACTTTTACAATTACACCTTCCATCCTAACCAGCAAGGACAGGTGCATCCTCTCCTTCTTCCTCCAAAACATCTGTACCAAGAAGGCTGTAACTACACTCCTTTACTTCCTGTTCTTACTCTATTCCCTCCCTTCTCCGCTCATTCAGAAAGGGCAAGTACCAAAGGGCGATACTAGATAAACAAACTTGAATGAGTGTAATGTGAGACCAAATGGGAAGTTAAAAGCCAATAACAAATGCCTCCCCTGTATAAAGAAGAGCATGCAGAAGAGACTAAATGGATGACGAGTGAACCACTGGAAGACATATTAATCTGAATTGAGAGCATAAATCTTTTTCAAACGTAACTACTGAGAAGGAAGCATGCAAATATGACCGTGATTGTTAACAATGAATTGCTTTTTAAACAAAAGAAGTCAGAAACACCCACAAAAATGTACTATCTGTGTTTTTATTTCTAGATTTCATTTTAAGAATCCATAAATAAATAAAATAAAATAAAGGGAAAGCGTTGCCTGAAAATTCTGTGCAGCAAGGGGATCGTTAGGGTTTTTATCTGGATGGACCTGCCGTGCCTGCAGAGGAAAGAAAAATGAATGAGTCTTTAGTGAAAATTGTATGTGTAAGCATAGAATAGAAAAGCAAAAAGCAATCAAATCATTGTGTGCGTTTGTTTATTTAATAAGAGGAAGCATTATTATCATCGTAACGGATCCAGCCAGTTGAAATGAATGGGTAAGAGAGAAAACGAGATCTAGTCGTTTCTACTTAGAAAGAAAGGAAAAAAGTAAATTGAATTTGGCAATTACCTTGATGTAATAAGCTTTCTTTATCTCAGCCTCGGTGGCGGTGGGGCTGACTCCGAGCACGTCGTAGTATTCTGTTTCCTTGACCATCTTATAATTTCTTCCTCCCAATCCAGATCCCTTCTCTTCTCTTCGATGATTACTAAATAACTAGTTGTGCTTTTGAATATTATAATCTAATCTTTTTCTCTAAAAAGAGCTTGCAGCAAATTAAGCAAAGATGATAACAGTGAAGAGAAGATGGATAGGTTCTCTCCGCTCCTTCGTAACAATGTCAGCAGGCAGTGAAAAAGAAAATCGCGTAGGACGATGATGCTGATGCTGATGCTGGTGATATGGCGTTGCTATTGCGCAGTCCGCCGTTGATTTTTTTAGAGTTGACCACTGCCTGCCTTCCGCGTTGTACCTTCTCCTCTATTGATTCCTTCCCTGCATCTTCCGCTTGTACTTTCTACTGTTTCGAGTTCTAGAATTTCAAGTTTTCAAATACACATCTGTACACATATAATCGTCAAGGCAATGCATTTTTAAAGCTGAATTAATCAAATTTAAATGAATTAATTTATAAATTAAACAATTTCGCTTAAATAAATTTAGATAAGGATGATGATAGACCCTTTTCCTTTGTCCTTCTCAAAGAATATTAATTTTATAATTTAAACATTTTATTTGTTGAATTTTATGATAGGTTTAGATCATTTTTTCTTTATTGTTAAAAGGAAAAAAAAATTAAGAGATTCGAATAAAATCATATGTTGTATTATATTACTATGCCTTTGCACTGCATAAAACACTTTTATTATTATTGGAAAATAGTAGAATACGTAAAGAAGTCAAAACCAACAGATAACATCATCTCAAATTCATTTAGAACCAATACTTGAACACCGGGAGGTAGAAACAATTAATATTCCCTGAAAAAGAAAAAGAAAAAAATGATGTGAATATGTGGCCGTTCCCATTCCACAATTTAACGCCCAATCATCATGCGATCGAGAGAAGGATGAGCATCGACCCTTGGATGAAAAAGGAGTGAGCTGTGAATAGAAAATGAGGACATTCCTCTTTCTTTCCCTTGCATGCAAAAGAAGGGGTACATAACTTTACAGTTTACAGCTATATTTATTTTATTATTATTATTTTTTAACCGAGATATTAAATAATATTTTTTTATTAACATAACTTTACAGTTATGTGTTGCCGTCCTCTTGCCCAATACATAACTTTACAGTTAGTTTTATTTTTATTAACACGACTGGTGCTAGAGCGAGCAATAGGTGGCCAGTAGCAAATAAGAAGGGAGTGCAATGTTAGCAAGTAGCCAGTAGGTAGCAAATAGCAATAGCATCATCATCAATCTGTAGAATATTAGGTAGGAGGAGAGAAGAAGCGAATACTAGAGAGAGAGAGCGATGTCCTCCAATTCAAACGCAGTAGCGAATGGGTTAGCAGGAGCAGGAGGCGGTATTGTTGCTCAAATCATCACTTATCCCCTCCAAACGGTACTTACTTCACTTCACTTCTACTCACACGCACTCCTCCTCATCCTCCTCCTCGCTCTTGTTTGTGTTACTTTTTATTATGTTCATTTATCACCTCTCTTTCTCCTTCCTAGTTTATTTTCAAGTGGCTAAATCAATTGTCATCATCATGTCAGGTGAATACGCGCCAGCAAACCGAGAGAATAGACAAGAAGAAGAAGCAACCTCATTCCCCTTCCAAACGCTCAAGCTCTGGCACTCTTCTTCAAATTTTCCAGGTTAGGTGTTAGGTTAGATTTCTACTTCTTCTTCCTGAACTTATCATTACAATTTAATCCGTTGCGGTCCAGGTTGTTAGAAGCGAAGGCTGGGGTGGACTGTACAGCGGCCTCAGGCCTTCTCTGCTTGGAACTGCTGCTTCTCAGGTCCACATTTCAATGCCCTACTCAAATTGTTTAATCTATATGCTTCTTTGTTATCCTTTACTCGTTCTAACCCTTCAACCAGCCCTACTGCAATCCACATATTTTTCTTGTCAATTTTTTCATTTATATATAGTCAGGTAGTTTAGGCATTTCATATAACAGGAGCAATTGAATACAAGAACCCCTTCTTTGTTTCTTCTGTATCTATGAGCAAATTGAACGCAAGAATTGACAATGTAGATTTACAAATTTGAAAAAGCGAAGAAAACCAGCGTCAATAGAAATAGCTAATCCTATTTACTGGTCATCAAATTTTTATTTTTTAATCTGTGTCAGCACCTTCAACTCTCAGTAATCCATGTCCAATAAACACAAACAATTAGTATTGATGTCTTTCTAATCATTTTTTCTTTTCATTGGTCTGCTGGTTCTGATCTAATATTCTCTTCCCATGATGCCAGGGCATTTACTACTACTTTTATCAAGTCTTCAAAAACAAGGCTGAGGCCATTGCAGCTGAACGAAAAGCCAAGGGACTGGGAGATGGTACTGTTGGCATGTTTTCTTGGCTTGTTGTTGCCGCTGTTGCTGGGTGAATACTCTTAATACTGACCCATTTAATTACTGTGTTCATAATAATATGTTTCTTGAGGAGTTAGGAACATGATGTCAAAGCTGGAACAATTGAGATTAGATAGACATCTGTCTGGTTATCCTGTGGATGACAGTTGAGCTTTGAACCTGGCTTTTTTAGCAACAAGGAGAACGCTGATGTCTGCCTCTAGCTTATGAGGAAGAAGAGGTTTTCTCATTATCATCATTCTAACCACACTTATTTTATCTTGCAGGTCCTTGAATGTATTGCTGACAATCCCGATATGGGTTCTCGTAACACGTATGCAGGTGCCTTTAGATATTTCTAAATACTTGCTGTGTTTGTTTTTAGTTTTTCTGAAGTCCCTACTACTTTGGATTTCCATATTTATTTGTTTCGTTATCTGGATCCCTTGTGCTATTTGCCTCTGCCACTAGTTGTTAGAGAGTTAAAATAAAATCAGTCCTAGGACCTCACCTAATGGCTTATGTTGTTGGGTTAAGATGGTTTTTTGACAACAAAATCAGATTTTCCTTTATCACACACAGAGTAGGGGAACAAGTGACATGTAGGATATTTAGGAGGACAGGGTGATGAGCCCTGCCAGTTTTTGAAACATTTTTATAGCTTGATTAGCTCAAGTTGTGTGCTTTCAACCCTTGTATACATGGGATGGTATACTTTTTGCAGAACTTTTTCTTAATAACAATAGTTACAGTCATAGCATATGAGACAAAGATGAAAAACAGTGAGTTCATAACTTTTAAATGCTCTATCAACTATCCTGGAAATTCCCTGTTGCAACCTTTAACTATATACTCATTAATTAGGTCCAATGAAGATTTTGCATGACATTTTGTATTTGGTTCTAGACACAAACTCAAGCAGAAAGAAAAATTATTGAGGGAAAGAAACAAGCTTTATTGAGGGAAGCTTCTGAAAGCAGCTCAATAGATTCAACTTTGCAAGAGAAATTGGCTGAACTTGATTCAATAAAACCTCGTCCATATGGAACTTTACAAGCGGTAGGTATCCATTCACTTTCAATTTCTTAATCAGTCTTTATGTTTAGTAGTTATCATGACATAGGCTGGATGCTTGCAAGTGATTCTTTATGTTCTTTGTTTTATGAAGCATCACATATAACCTTGTCTAAGACTTATAAATCATCTATTCATTTAGTTTCTTTCTCTCTTTTAACTTTTCTTTGGTTAAAGTCATTGATTATTTAAAACTTGATCTTATTCTAGGATTATGATTAACTTGATGAACGATATAAAGTGGTAGAATTGATATTATATTAAATGAATCATTGTGTTGTAAATGAGTGCTGATTACAAACGTGTCAATTTTAGGCATGTAATTAAATGCCTTAATCATTTGCCACTTTTGAGTTGGTTGGCCAACCTGCTAATTGTTTTCATCGTTTTGTCTCAAAATTGTGTTTGCATAACTATGCCACGAATGATTATGATAGAAAACCAAGTCCATTGATGTGGGTTTTGTAATTTGTCCAATTCCACCACACTTGACCATTGTGATTGTTTTCATGCAACAAACACATCATACTTAGCTTAATAGGGAAGAAATTTAATTCTTTTTATTTGTTTATATGTTATCATTCATTATCTTTCTTGATAAATATAAGGCTTATTTGATTGGAAAAGATTACACTATAGTTGTGGTTATCAATGACAGTACGATCAATACTACTGGGATTATCACATGAGCATTTACTTGAGTCTTTTAGTTTTTATTGATACTGATTCTGGTTTCTTTCACATGTGTTCAAGGCACGTGAAGTTTTTACTGAAGCAGGAATCACTGGATTTTGGAAAGGCATCATCCCAACCCTCATTATGGTTAGCCTCATTTGGTTATGCATTATTAAGTGCACTTTGAAGTTAATTTTCACTCTCATTTGATCCAACTTTATGAATGCCAGGTGTGCAATCCATCAATCCAGTTCATGATTTATGAGAGTTTGCTAAAGAATCTAAGGGCAAAACGTTCTGCTGACAAGCAAGGGTTCAAAAATGTGACTGCTCTGGAGGTATAGAACTACTTCAGACAATCTAGTTGGAAAGGATGCTGAAGAATAACTTTCCTTTTTTGCTTTGTGCCAGTCATTTGCAAAATATTTAACCTTGTCACATGTATTGGGAACATCCACTTGTCATTTGGAAAGGTCTTTTTACTGGGAGCTTTGGCAAAACTGGGAGCAACTGTCTCAACCTATCCCCTGTTGGTTGTAAAGGTAACTGGCTTTTGTAAAATTGATCATTAGCCCCATGGAAGTAACTGTGCTCTTATAAATTTACTTGTTTGTGATATTGGACAATTGCTTGCCCATTGGTCTTGTCAAGTAAAAAGGATTCAAGATCTTGTCCTAGCATCTTCTTCTGCAATAGATTTCACAACAATCAACTACAAATTTTTTTCTCATTTGGGTTATACAATCAACTGATTTAGTGCAGTATGTTCTTGCAGTACCTTGCAATGTTGGCACAGCATGTGCACAAGCTTACATGCATGTGCTCATGCACAAAGTACTGTATAATTATACTTTTAAGTCTTTTCCTCTTTGTGTTCCCTTTGCAGTCAAGGCTTCAAGCAAAACAGGAGATTGGTGGAACTAACATGTTAAGATACACAGGTTTGCTTTCAGATACACAAAGGCATAACATTAATAAAATATGTTACTTGTAGAGTTCATCATTATCATCTCCATCCTCCAGAACTGTTGCATTTGCTTCTTCTATGTTAGAGTAAGGTTATGGCATCATTTAATAATGATAATAATATATTCACTACTATTGTTATTGAATAATAACTGTTTATTTTTAAAATCATTTGTTTGATGAGCATATGTTCTATGAATTAACCATTACAGCACTTTGATTGACCTATTAACACAAGGTTGAAATCTTGAAGGTTAAGACAAGTTGCGTGCTTTAATTACCAAAGATAGTGGATTTTTTTCTTTGTGGCTCTGGCAGCACCAAACTTCCACCCTTTTTTTTTTCAGCAAGTTTGTGCAAACGAACATCTCTTATTATGCTAGGATCAAGACTTAATGACGAAGTTGCAAGACTTGGAGAAGTCATTTAAGAATCTTATATCCCCAACCATAATAAAAATCATCTAAGAATTTCCCCAAAAACTTTCACTGGTACAAATGATGGTATGCTCAGTTTTGCACAATAGTCGCAAAACAAATTGTGATTTCTGAATTGAATTCTAATAGGTGTACTGTTTTGTTTGTTATCCCACTGTTATAATACATGTTGTTGTCTTCTTTAATGGTATAAATGCAGGTACTGTTGATGCAATAGTCAAAATGATCCGTTATGAAGGATTGACAGGTTTTTACAAGGGAATGAGCACAAAGATAGTACAGAGTGTGTTTGCAGCTTCTGTACTTTTCATGATCAAAGAGGAACTTATCAAGGCTTACATGGTGCTAGCTGATAAGAGCAAGAAACTTCTGATAAAATTGAATAATTGACGTTTTTTATTGCTCGTGAAGAGGCAATTGCATAATCTTATTGTGAATATATGATGGTTAAAATTGGCACCACATGCGTGCACCAATCACTCCCTGGGACATCATGAGCTGAACGCATTTTGCTTCTTATAATAATGGAATTCTGTACTTTACTGTTGGAGAAATACCAGCTCGGTGATATTCAAGATCCGAGGACCGATACAATTTGTCAAATATGAAAATTCACTTTGTCTACCAAATCGGTCTTGCTTCTTTTAAGAAGGTTCTTTGAATTCCTTTTTCTGCAATTTTAATGCTAATATGTTTTGTACCATCTCCTTTTGCATGTTGCAAAGTATTGTTACTGTGCTAAGAAAGAACAGCTGAAGTCGTGCGCATTCTTGGTCTATCCTCTTATCTTTTCTGTCCCTTATAGGTCTGCATGTAACGTGCAGGTTATCCAATTGTATTTACCCAATGTTTGAGATTTTGGGGAAGTAGCGTAAGACTGAAGTTGAGTTCTTCTTTGTTTCTTTTTGCTAGTATTTGTGCTCTGTGATGTTCGACTTATGTAAAACTTTGTTGAAGCAAGCTCTGAGACGTCATATATTTCATCTGTGTATAATGATAATACTAACATTCTGACTGGCCTATTGATCAAATTATCGTTATTATTATTAGTCTACTACTATTATTTTGCTGTTGTATGTGAATAAATTTCTAGCAAACTAATTTGTTTGACATGCTTTGGCAGATTTGTTGTGTGGCCACCCGAGGGACCTTGGAAACTTGAATATCTTTATTCAATTTGTTTGTTATTTTTATTTTTATTTTCCTCCTATAATATTCCGAGAAACACAATGGTTGTTGTTGTGTTATATATATATATATATATATATATATATATTGGGGGAGGGGGAATGGGGGTGAAAACAATAACCCTTTGCCCTTGGGTCTATGCCTATGATAATGGAACAGATTTCTCTTACTTCGACTATGCCTATGCTAAAAAAGACAGTATGTCTGCCCGTCAACCCAAACTTGCGACGAGGAGGTCATGTTTTGAAGGGAAGTGAGCATTGATTTGATAGTATTATAGATAAAGATCACCCTGTGATACCAATCAATCTTTCCGGTAAGAAGAACTCAAGACGAATCGAGGAATCAATAGTTTTATTCAATGTAAATGCAAATGAAAGTTGAATCACAAAAGTAATAAGAATGCAAGAATGGCTACAGAGACGAATTTCAAGAAGAAAGATAGAGATTCATTACAAATTAATCCTAAAAGATATCTCTCTCCGAATTCTCTGTTTATATATCATCCTCTTTACTAATCACTAACAAACTTCTAACTAACTTGTAACGGACTACTAACTAACTAGTAATCCTTCTCTAACTTGTGGCTTGTTAGTTAAGTAAAATGCCGACTGTTATTCGATCATTCCAATGCCAACCTATCATTCTTCTAGCTCACCTTTGCCACTATAGCTCATCCACGTCGGCATTACTATTTGAATTTGCATTTTCCTCTTTGTTAACTTGTTGATTTCTCGATGAACTTTGCCTTGTATCAATACTCTCCTATTTATTGAAAAACCTTGTCCCCAAGTTTGAAGTCCGAAAATTTGTCCTACAAATCAAAGGCATGTAGCATCAACAAGAGAATTATGGGACCAACGGATCTAAAGTTTTGTAGTAGCCACATTCCCTCTTTTAACCATCTTCCTATCCGGAATAGCCAAGGGATAGAGATGGAGATCTACTTGTGAAAGGTAATGGAATGCGAGCGAGTAACATCTCCACGAACATGTTTCAATTAAGATACATGAAAGGTGGGGTGAATTCGAGCTGAACCAGGCGGGTCCAAAGTATAAGCCACAACTCCTACCTTATCAATGATGCGCGATGGACCATTAAATCGAGGAAATAACTTCGATTAGAACGATGAGCCACAAACCCTTGACGATAAGCCGACAATTTCAAATAAACCCGAGTCACTAAGCCGAAACACTCTATCGGTGCAATGCTTGTTAGCTAGGCTCTTCATACGATGCTAGGCATGATTGAGTTGATATTTTAGTAATGCTAACATATCCTTTTTCTCCCTTAACAGTGATCCACTTGCCTCTACCTTAGAATCACCGGAATATAAGGCGGATGCCAAGGAGGAACATATCCATACAAGGCTTCAAAAGGTGGCATTTTGATAGTAGAATGCCAATTTGTATTATACCATTACTCGGCTAGGGATAACCATTTGCTCCGAGTGTTTATGATTAGAAGAGGTCATGCAACAAAGGTAGATTTATAAGCATCCGTTCACCACCTCAAATTGACCATTGATCTATGGATGATATACTGTTGAGAAACTCCTTGCAAACCAAAAAATACCTTCTAAAATTTGCTCAAGAAAACCGAGTCTCTATCTAATACAATGGTACTAGGTAGACCATGCAGCTTGAAATAGTATAAGGATGTACAAGAGTAATAAAATAGCCATACTTTGTTAGTTTGTCTTCCACCACCATTTTAATACTTTTACCAAAAGAAAAAGGCAAACCATCAATAAAATCCATAGTAATATCTCGTAAATATGGCTTATAGCAGAGGCAATGGTTGTAACAATCCATAGGTAGCAATGGTCTCATACATACGTTGTTGGAAAATAGGATAGGCTGTGAACATATTCACAAGCCGACCTAGATAGGCCCTTCTAGTAGAAAACGGTAGCTAACTTCTTTATTGTAGCTTCCACCCCCACATGGTCCCCTACAACGAGTGTCATGAAATAAGAAAATCGGGGATTGTTGTAATAGAAGATCATGTCCCACCACTAATTTGTCCTTTCTAAGCAACTAGTCATTCTTTCATATATATTTAGAAGTGGAAGGAGGTGTACTCTTCAATTGCTTAATCAATTTCTTCAAGTATGGATCCCGATACCGGGAAGAGATCACTTTAGGAAGAATTTCGATAGATATAGAAGATAGTGCCAAAACTAATACTTCGGTATTGGGCAATCGAGATAAAGCATCTGCCACCTTATTCTCTCTTTTGTTTTATACTCAATATCATAGTCGTATCTCATGAGTTTGACCAACTAATTATGTTGAAATGCAATACGCAATCTCTTTTCAAGCAAGTATTTCATGCTTTAGTGGTCGATTATAATAGTGAAATGCTTGTTGGATAAGTATTGATGCCATTTTTCACTCGCAAACAAAATGGCAAACAACTTTTTTGATAAACGAGATAAACCTTGATGTTTACTAGAAAGAACCTTACCGATATATGTAATCGGGAGACCCTTTTGTATCAACATAGCTCCAATACCAGCTTCTAGATACATCTGTCTCCATAACAAAGTCTTCGATAAATCAAAAAGAGCTAGGACAAGAGTATTAACCATTAAAGCTTTGAGTTGTTTGAAAGCTATATCAATTTGGAAGTTCCGAGTGGAAAACATCTTTCTTCGATAAATCAGTCAAAGGTTTAGCCAACTTCTCATAATTTTGAATAAATCTTCAATAGTATCCAGTGAGGCCAAAAAATCTCTTAATTGTTTGAGATTTTTTGGTTGAGGCTCATGCTTGAACTGCAACAATCTTTCTTGTATCGATCCGGAATCCTACAATAAAAATCAAGTATCTAAGGTATTTCACTTTTGGAGTGCCAAAAGTGCATTTGGATCTTTTTCCATACAAAACATTTTGTCTAAGAATTGAAAGAGTAAAAGTTAAATGCTTGGACATGATCGGATAAGGATTTGCTATAAACTAGGATATCATCAAAGAAAATTAAAATAAATTTTCTTAAAAAAGGTCAAAAGATGTGATTCATAAGACTTTGAAAAGCGTTAAGGGCATTAGTAAGTCCAAATGGCATCATAAGGTACTCATAATGACCATTGTGAGTTTTAAATGTAGTTTTGAAAATGTCGGACTCAAAAACTCGATATGATAATACTCTACCCTTAAATAAAGTTTAGAAAAGACTACCGATCCCTCCAATTCTTTAAGAAGTTCTTTAATAATTCAAATAAGGAACTGGTCGGGAATGGTGATCCGGTTAACTATTCTATAATCCATGCACATATGCTAAGATCCATCTTTTTCTTCACCAACATAATCGAAGAAGCAAATGGACTAGAGCTAGGTTGAATAGTTCTTGCCTCTAGTAATTTTTATACCATCTATTCAATGATATCCTTATGGGTAGAAGGTATCGATAAGGCTTCATGTTTACGGGTTCTAGTCCCGATTTTAAAATAATTTTATGATCATGAGCTCCCAGGGAGGTAATCCTTTAGGTTCTTCAAAAAAATCACCAAATGTATCCGGGACGGTTTGTATTACTATGAAACCGACTCCTCCTCATCCATCTCACATAGCTCCATGTAATCCTCATTATTACTCAATAATTGGTTTAACTATAGCCAATTAAGCTCCTCTTGTTTGTGAAGTATTGTATTCATCATTTTTTTCCTCCTATAAACTAGGAAGTTTAACTGATTTCCTTTGTAAAGTCAACATTTGCCCTCGTCACTAAGCCCATTTAGCCATTCTATTCATAGAATCATGTCATAGATTCCTAACTACGGTACAAAGGCTCTGCTTTCAAACCTCTACTTTTGCATCTTCCACTCAAATGATTCACACACAATCTCGGTTCCCGACCACTTTAATAGTTACTAGTTTGATCTTGGTTAGTTTGCAAACCTATTGTTTAGAAAATTACGTGTATTATCAATATCAATCAAAATCTCTATTCCACATCCTTGTTGCTTCCCTTTAACTCTCATATTCTTATACTGATTTCTCTCAAACACTCTGCACTCATAGAGATCCGATATAACTCTTTCACATAATTTTCTTTATTAGCATCGGTATATTTAGCTACTCGTTAGCTCGACATTCTCCCATACTTCATCATTCTATTCTACTTCCAACATATACACCTGTCTCCTCTTATATTTGTGTCCTGAAAAATACTTATCATCATAAAAATAACATTTTCCT